CAAGAGCGATAGTGTGGTCAGCGCGGTGGAGGTCAGCCCTCGACTAAGGAACCGCAATCCGAGGCGAGGTGGCAACGACCCGTTGCACCCGTTTACGTGCTGAAATTGCTTCCTCGTGACCTTCCAGTGTCAGCGTAGGATTCCGTGCCTCAACGGCCTGCCGTAATTGCAACACTCTAGCGAACTCCACAGAAAGGGAGGCGCAGAGCGACGAGAGTCGCCTGAGGCATTGGCCGTGATGACGGAGATTCGATAATACCAAGCATCATTAAGACTTTATCCAACCTGTCAAAGTTCGCTTCAACGCAGACACGAGTCAGTCAAGCAGAGCTTGACAAAACACCGTTTGGATGGGACGTCAATGTCAACGGAAGGGCAATGGGACTGACGAGCCCCGGCTCGTCACCCTGGAGCTTAATCCCAAATCTTACACATGCGATGGCAGTGTACAAGGACGCATCTCGGGACTTGATCCCGCCTCCAGGAGTGGGCAGCATGGGCGCATCTCGGGGAGTGGAGTCGTGAGGTCGCCATTAGGCGCGTCGGTGATGAGAAGCTTTCGTCAATATGCGTCAGGAACAGCCTACCCCTACGGAACGGTTATGTCCACCTGCTTAGGTCGAGACCCACCCCATGTTGCACTCGGAGTCCCGGGGCACAATGCTGCCCTGTACCGGGACATGGAAGCCGGGCCTCTAGGGAAGGCTGTCGTCACCCCGGAATGTGCCCTTTGGTCGGGTCTAGGAAATGACGACGCTTAGGGTTAACTTTGTAAGCGCCGGTCGACGAGGGTTGCCGGCGGAGGTTACGGCACTAAGGGCGGCAGAGATGCGCTTGCTGCGCAGGTACGGAGCGTAGACGAGGGATGCTCACCAAACAAGCACAAGCTTCATTTCGCACGGGCCCGGTGGGACACAGAGAGAGGAGAAGCAGAGAGGCACAAGAGGGGAGGGAGAGCGAGCAGCAGCAGACAGGTCCCGCAGATTATCAGCGAGATCAACGCATTTCTGGCAGAGACCGGCTCAACGGGATGGATCTTTGGGGCTCTTGGGAGTGGATTTGGGTTGCCACGACACCACGACAGCGGTGGTCCGGCACTCTCAATGGCCATCGGAGAGCATCCCGCAACGCGCACGACCATGGGATCGCCAGGATCAGGGTTCAGTGGGTGGATTTGCCCTGGGAACACATTATAAGGGGTGTCCCACGGACGCCGCTGGGATGCAGCGATTATTGACGGCCACTGTTTCCAGAAAGAGAATTTGTTTTGTCGATCATGAGGTCATTTTGTGATGGAGGGAGGGATGGTAGTTGGAGGGCAGAAAAAATCTTCGATGGAACTTCCATCGCGTGGGTCTTGCGGGGACTGCTGGGATTCGCAATTTGGAGCGAGAGAGAGAGAGAGATACTGCATGGCTCATGAGCAGTTGAAAGGTAGGTTAGGTTAGTTAGTTGGGTGGTTAGGTTAGGTTGGTCCCCCTGGCGTGTGACATGATCAAGGTTGGCGAAGGGGACGGATGAACAAGGGTCGGAGAAGAGATTTGGGTTCGATAATGTTTGCTGGTCAACCATAAAGAGAGGACAGGAAAGCAAAAAACAACAATGATGATCATTGCTGTAGAGGGAGGACTTCTCGATGGTTGGAATCCGTAGATGGAACCCTTGATCGCGTTGCCCCCCCTGGGAAAATCATTGAATAATGATATTTATAGAGGGCTGAGCCACGATGGGGGACCTCCTTGGAGGGTAGGCACTGACGTTATTCGCGTACGATTTTTGCATATGTCAGACATGGGGAGACGTTGAACGCCGGAGGGGGGGGGAAGGGACTGTAAGAGAGAAAGGGGGTGTTTTGTTGACACGTTAGCGGTGGGTATGGTGAAGTGAAGAAACCACCCCCGGTCCCCCGAGACACATGTCCGACGTACGACGTACGTCTCGAGTTGGCGGCCGAGGGTGTTGTTGGCCATTGGATTGGGGTTGAGGGAGGGCCGTGATCCCCGGGCCCTTGGCCCCGTCCACTACGGAGGCTTTGCCACCCGTTGATCGCTCGTGTTCGGCCGGCTGCCCGGAAACACCAAAGGGGGGGTGTGGATGATTCTCCGAAGGGGCTGGTGGTGGTCGTCGTGGTGGTGGCCATCAACCCAGATTGGGGGTTTTGTTCCCTCTCGCAGGAGATTTGACGATGGCGGTGCTTATTGGGTGGGGGCGTTGAAGCTTGTCCGGGTTCGGTGATGCATCTGGGTGACTCTCGACGATGCAACGCTTCAGGTGAACCCGTCAGTTGGAAAAGCTGGATAATGGTAAGAAGCGCAGATCTTCCAAGATTCCCATGCGGAAGAATACCCTGAAGTTGGCAGTTGGGGGTTTGAGCAATACGAAGAGCCGGGTTCGGTGAATGAGTGCCGAATGCAGGTACTAGGCGGAAGTGGGCTCTTTCTCTCTCTCTCTGTGGACAACTTTTGCTAGGCCCTTTAGACTTGGTCGAAGCTATTTCGCGATATTGGATATTGGTTGGGGGGTGGCGGCGGATTCAAGATTTGGGGTCCATGCGATGCGAAAGGATCAAGGAGAAGCGGGGAGGGCGTTGCGGCCACGCAGCATTGACTTTTTGACGACGATCCCATGAGACGCACAAAGGGTAGCATGATGGACTGGGATAACCCCCTTTCATGCTATTCTTGGTTTGACTCGTAGATGGTCTGATATGAGGATACAGTCGGTACGAAGCCGTTGAAGTATCTCTAATGAGGTCGTGATGGGACGGGATTGCCTTGGGCCTTGGAGGACCCCCTGGCAGGACCCTGAGTTCGGGGGGTGTGTGTGTGTTCCTGAAAATCAGATTGCGGACGCCCTAGGGCAGATGCAAAAGAGCCGCCTGTCGCTCGCTTTTGCTGTATGTCTCGTGATGGCTTCAGGAGGTGACTAGGTCACGAGACTAGACTGGACGGGTTGCGGTCCGATAGGGGGTCGGAAAGAGGGGGGAAGGGAGGCGAATAATGGTTTTTTTACGTACAGCAAGAAGCATGAGATGCGTGTGTGAACTCGTGACACCTTTTTGTGTCGTTGCACTAAGACCTGACAGGATCTAGTGGTCGGGCCGGACTGTATTGTTCGCGGTGGCTTGTCGATGGTGTCTTTGGAAGCAATGCTTAAAAGATTTGTTGGTTTCCATACAAAGAGTGTGGAGGAGCGAGGAGCAGTCTTAATGAGCATTGCTTTGCCGCAATTTCTTTTTTTTTCCCCCCTTCTTTTGGTCCATCTTGGTAGGGAAATGTTTATGGCCTTTGTTGTTTACGTGTTCTTTCTTCAGTTTGGAATTTCTTTTGCGATGAAGGAAATTAAAGATTGATTGAAGCTAAAGCATGAGGAAACGTGGGAGCTGGTCACCAGGATGGATGAGTGGGATCCTTCTGGAGAATGGTGGATGGGATACAGTGGTAGATGGGAGCACATGGCAGCAACGAGAGGCTGCGGCGGAATCTGGCATCTTTGGCCCTCTATCCAACACCCGGGGCTTTGAGTCAAGGTCTCGGGGCTTGTGAAGACGGTTGGATTGCACATGTGCTTGGATGATTGGCCGGTGTCCGGGTTGTTTGGCCGTGCTGCTTCTGGACCTTTTTGGCACATGTTTGGACCGGTCGCGGTCCCTCCTTTGACATTGAGGAACATTGTGTAGCGTTTCCGTCGGTATGGGGAGAAGAGAGATACGTCATGTTTCTCGTTTTGAAAGATACTCTACAGCGGCTTTCTCGTGTGATTTTCTTCTACTACAAACTCATCTGTTTGGAATCATTGTTGATGTTTATTTTACATGTTTTGGTTTCCGTATCCGACTTGACTGAAAGTTGCAGAAATTCAGAGGTGCAAGGTCGGTGATGTCGAAACAGTGGACATAGCTCTTATCAGCCCCCCCTCGAAACTACAGCAGTCAGTGCTGCTGTCGTGCGCTGCGTGCCAGTTCCCCCCCAAGAGGTGCGCGACAGGTGTCACGCTCCGCCCAAGATTAACAGCGGGCTCCGGCGGCATCTGAAACCTTATCAGAGACAGTCTTGGACAGTGTCCACGCTTATCGGCTCGCTGCCAAGCAGCGCCGAAAAGGCCTAGAAGGGTGCTTTGGGCGGCGCTGGCAGCACGTCACTCCTGGCACTGTACGCCAAGGTACCTTTTGCCCGCCGCCCCTCTCTTGCGCTATAAGCCTTAGCGCCGCTTTCCTCAACGCGGCGTCACCACTATTACCCTTCCCGCTCCGGTGCATGGAGCTCTACTGCTGCTTGCTTGCTTTTTCATGCTCTCTGCTTGTTGCGTAAGGCATGTCATCTCCATGTACCTACCTACTGGCCTTGTTTAACTAGAGTTTACGTGTACCTCGCGGGGCCTAGAACCTCTCTTACTGCTGTTTTTTTTTGTTGACGCAGTGCCTTGCTGCTGCATCATTCCCTCCTCTTTTTTTTTCTGCTCTTTATCCCACCGCCCTGCTGCTGTTGCTGGAGAATACATCCACCTCTTCTTTTTTTCCTTTCTTTTTTTCTTGTCTCCCGTATCTTCTCCTCTTTACCCCTCCATACAACATCATCTCGGCTTTACCAAGCTACCTATCTATCCTCCCCGCTGCCCATCTGCTATCCGCGCGCCGCGCACGAGTCGGACGACTGAAACGAAACGGAACGCTCCTCATCTTTGACCCGGCGTCGAGATCAACGGACCGACTGTTGTTCTCTTTTCTCTTTTTTCCCTCTTTACCCTTAATCCTTATTGCGGCCACAGAAGAAAAACAACACTACCAGCAGTCGACAACAGAGAAGCGGAAAGCTTACTTACGTCGTCTTCTTTTTTTGTGGTTCCTGAACCTAGTTTCTGAGAACCAACCCCCGCCAGCCGTTCTCGGCCCCCCACCTTCTACCTCGCAGCACGCCGCTTTTTTCGACCATCGGCGTCTTTGAGACTAGAGAGGAAGACGTCGTCATCGCCTATCATCACCACCAACCCTACCGATCATCATGGCTCCCAAAGCTGCGCTCGACACTCCTGAAGAGCCCCAGAGCGACGGGTCCAAGCTGAAGACTTTCATCGGCATTCTGAAGAAGTGAGTACATCGTTTAGACCATTTGGCGGTCTGTCTTTGTGTTGCGCCGCACGTTTGGAGGAGACGAGAGAAAGATGTGGACGGAGGCGAAGTCATGCGCCGTCATGGGCGGGGGCGATAGCTTACGAGCGACGATCCCAGGAGGGGTAGATCGCATCGTCACCGAAGAATCAGCACTGCGACACGTAGAGACAGACAGTTGTGGTGCCAACATTCGCTAATCCTCTGCCTCCACCATCTAGGTTTATTGGTGTTGCCGACCTCGCTGCCGTGCGTTTCTCGCTCCCCTCTCAGCTTCTCGAACCCACGCCGAATCTCGAATACTGGAACTATCTCGATGCGCCTAATGCCTTCGTCGCTATCGGCACCTCTGATGAGCCCCTCGACCGCATGCTCGAGGTGTGCCGGTTCTGGTTCACCAAGGACCTCAAGTACGTGAAGGGCCGGCCTTGCAAACCATACAACTCCTGCTTGGGAGAGTTTTTTAGGGTAAGCGTGGCCTCTTTGGAACGATGCAATGCGATATGCAGTCCATGACTCGCGATACTGATGCTGTTGCAAGTGTAACTGGGAGACGGAGAACAACGCACCCAACATCAACACCACAGCTCTTAGGGCCGGAAGTGGCACCGCTAGTAGCTCGTCAAGCTTCAAGTCTGCCAAGGGCGACAAAAATGCCTCGGCTGTTTCTCTATCCGTCCCGCAGCACGGCGCCTCCACTCCGGACAAGAAGCCCGTACGCGTCTCGTACCTCACCGAGCAGACCTCTCACCACCCGCCCGTGAGCGCTTTCTACGTGAGCTGCCCCGAGCGGGGCCTCTCCGCCCGCGGCTTCGACCAGATCACGGCCAAGTTCACGGGAACTAGCATCCGCGTCCTGCCCGGTGAGCACAACCTCGGCATCTTCATCACGCTCGAGAACCGCGGCGGCGAGACGTACCGTCTTACTCACCCTGCGGCGCACCTCGGTGGTATGCTCAGGGGTAGCTTGAGCGTCAGCGTCAGCGAGATGGCGTACATTACGTGTCCGCAGACTAAGCTCAAGACGATTTTGCAGTATGTCGAGGCCGGTTGGCTCGGCCGCTCCACGAACCGCGTTGAGGGTGTCATTTTCCGGTATGACCCGGATAATGATGACAAGGTGAACATCAAGGACGTGCCCGAGGCCGACATTGTCGCCCGTCTCAGCGGTCCCTGGCGCGAAAAGGTCCAGTTCACCTTGGGTCCCAAGCCTGTGGTATGTATCTCTCGTAGACCATATTGAGCAAGATACTGACTTTTGTAGGATTCGCACCCTCCTGAGGCTCGCTACACCATTATTGACCTCGAACCCCTTAACGTAGCGCCCAAGGTCCTTCCCCCGACGGATAAGCAGCTCGAAAACGAGTCCCTGATGCTCTGGTCCGGAGTCACCGAGGCTATTCACGCCAAGCAATTCTCCAAGGCTACCACTGTCAAGGTCGAACTCGAAGAGCGCCAGCGTGAGAAGGCTCGCGAGCGCGAACGCACGGGAGAGACCTTCAAGCCCGTCTTCTTCGAGCAGGTTACGGGCAACGACGGCAAGCCCGAGCTCACTGAGAAGGGACGCGAGGTGCTCGCCCGCGCGCAGAAGGGAGAATGGGACATGACTGGCATCATTTAAGGAGAGGATGACTTGAAATGAGGTCAGGCTGGATTACGGCAAGCATTTTCAATAGCGCTGGTGCTGCATCAGGCTTTTCGTCTTTCTTTTGGGTTCTCGGGCATTTGAATACCTCTTTCTTTTCTGTTCTCTTTTTTGACGGCCGACGACATATGCCACCCATCAGTAAAGGATTGAGGTCGCATTATTACTTGTTTCCTTGCTTCAATTTGATTCCCACTAGAGACATGGACTACAATAACGTGTGGATGGGAGGGGAGGAGGGGATGGTGTGTCACGAACGAGACAAGACGACGGAGGTAGAGGAAGAGGAGTTATTATTAAGCATTTTATTTGCCATCATTCGCTTTGTTTTGGGACGTGGACGAAGCCTTGAGCTTTGTTCCTTTCCATTGTCACTAGCATACATACACTCAACACACAAGCACACAGTTACCGCTCCTTACGGAGAGGTTGGCGTTGGCATTTTAGATGGGTTGATATTTCTATCTAATACAGTTTATTGATTGCTGTGGTTGTCGTTGCTTTGGTCTGTTATGCTTGAAGGTTTAATGAGGTAGTCGCTAGACGACAGAGAGAGTACGCAGATTGAACGAGGGGGCTTGGAAGGCGTGTTCGTGATGAACAGGACGCAGAATGCAAACTAAGAGAAAGCCTATCTTGACCTTTTTTCTTTGGGTTGTTAATATGACAAGAGGTGTATGCTTGATAGAATACTTGACCCTCCCGGCTACCCGATGCACCCTTTCATGTGAATAAACAGAGATAGTGCACCTAGTGCAAGGATGAAGCAACACTGGCTGCTATGTGCTGTAGAAGTTAATTGGAGCCGTCAATGACTCAACAAGTCTGCGACAAGAAGCTTTATGGAAGGTTGTAACTGGACTGACTCCTCACAGAGTCGAGAATCAGTGGCACTCGAATCGATCTTTGCATAATCGATAATACCGCAGGACATGGCAGCGGATCCGTGACAGATTATTAATATATTTCTTAACCTAAAGACAACAGTGCTCTCTACATGGGCGGCGTTTCCTCCCTGACATTACTAGGATATACCCAGACGACCTTGTCGCAACTGCATATAGTCTCCTCAATCATCACTCGAATACCACCTGGCGTGTACAACAGCGGGAGACAATCTCCAGTGTCATCTACACGCGCAAAGATGTCGATTTTCCTGTCTCTGAACGGCTTCGACAGGGCTTCGAACGAGTCGCCGTGGGCCTTTTTCCACCTAGCCAGCTCCGGGAAGATTTCCTTGTCTATTCTCATCGGCCTCTTGTGAGAATGGTCTATGCCCGACCCGTAACCCAGTCTCCCCGCGTAAATGACCAGCTCCCGGAGGCTGGGCAGCGCCAGGACCGCGTCGATGGTGTTCTTGTTGTCCTGCTTGAAGAAGTCGACATTGTGGAACTCCACCAGCTGTATGTAGTCAAGCACCCCCCTGAGCCGCGGGGTCGGGTGGAGCATGGCGTGGCGGAGGCCGCGCTGTCGCGCCGCGATGAGGGGGGACGATTCCTCGTCGCGGAGGATCTGCGGCCTGAACACGTCTCGCTCAAAGTCCATCCAGCTGTCGATGATGATTTCCTCCGGAGGCTGCGGGAAGTTGTGCGCGGCGGGGAACCGTCGGAACCTCCGGTGCACCATTGCTCTCGTCCGTCTGTCGATCTGGGCGAGATCGCAAGTGAGCCAATACCGCTCGTGTTGTGCGAACAGGTCCCCTTTGATGTGGAATTTGTTGTTGTGGCCCATGGGGTCTGTCTCATCGTTGGAGATGGAGTCGGGATTCACGCTGTCGCCGTTCCCTTCACCTGGGCTACCACGGCCGTCTCCGGAGGCTGAGGTTGCGAGTGCATTACTCTCGCTACTTCTGCTGAGATTGAATTCTTCATCGGCCTTGTAATACAGATTGTAAATGTCACGTTCAATGCATTCGTCTGCCGCTTGCCGGATGAGCTCCTCGATGATCTTGAGGAAGATTTCGTAGGGAATGACTCGAGGCCTCATGTAGATATCTTCAGTGTCGTCATCAGTGAAGCTTTCATCATCAGTGAACGTGTCCTCATCAGTAGTGCTGCTCATTGTGGTTGTTATATTTTTGAAGTACTGTTTAAGAAGTGGTTTGCAAAGTGCTGTAGACAAAGGCGGATGGCAGGATTCCGGTCTTGCTGTGGAAGAGAACTAAGGCTGGAGATGGGGGCAGCTTGATTTTCGCTATTAGCAAAAGACCCTCCTATTGCCATCATGTTAGCTGTTCACCTTGATTCTACATTCCCGTGTCTCCATTATCTTCCTCGTACCTCAGTGAAAATAAGACGTTTGCAAAAACCCCATCACGACTTACCTAGAATCGTGGCTGAGTGAGTCGTCCGTTCAAAGACAAAAAGATCTACCCAACCGAACTGTAAGAGGGGAAGTAAACTTCTTCACAACCAATGGTAAAGAACGACAGACGAGCTTCAGACCAGTGACGACACAAGTATGAAGGAACACAGGGGTGTGCAGATGACGTCAACTTTGGATGATCAAAAAGCAAAAACACACAACACCAGGTATTCGCTGGTCGTTATCGACCCAATTATCATTCTGGCACTTTACAACATTGTCTAGGCGGAACAGCGACCGCCTCCGTCGTGATGACTTTAACAATCCAAAGGGGATGGTTCTGATCCTCAAAACGGACGGAGGAAATATAACTATTTCGATGGAATCGTCCTACATGGTTTGGTGAGCCGTTTCAGCATACAAGGATGTGCTTATAATCTTGTTCGAATTCATGTCTGATGTCTAGGCGCCCCGTGCCGCTTAGGCTGACGGGATAGAAGGCTAACTAAAATTGGAATAGGGGCATTAAGTATCAGGAGGGGTTCACTAGAAATGTTTAGGTCAAGGTATGTTACACTACACACGTTATGATGGTTTTGGCTTACACAATCGGTTGTGCTTTCGTTCAGAATCAATCAAACTGATCGGAATGTCGCTTGCTTTAGGTGATCTTCTTGGCTATTTTCTCTTGAGTTTTCATGACAGCTTTACATGGTTACGGTGCGTCAGGCTTTGTCAATTTGTTTGAATGTGCCATTTTGATTTCATTTTTCATCAATGGGGCTGTACAAGCCTCTTTATGATGAATGTCCCTCGAGTTCCTCTGTTCTCCATCTCGTACTCACTTTAGTTCAGTCTCACTTGCAAGGCAATAGCCACAAATGACACAAAATTCCTAAAAGCGCCTTGATATGCCATCCTGTCTCACATGGAAATGATTTAGATTAGATCTTTGCCACTTTTTCCGAAGATCGTCTTTACCCTTTGATTTGAAATGCAACTCTTATTGTTTATTGCCTGGTTCAATCATGAGCTTTTGCAGGGACTGGACATGAAGCGAACAACTTTTGCCATTGCTTTCCTCGGAAGCATCGCGACAAGCGTTGCAGTTCGTCCTGCGAGAAGTTCAGATTTGGTCTCATGCTTTACGTATCTGTCAACCTACCTCGAGCCTGTGCTTCCTTCAACTACGTTAACCAAAGGTTGGCTATGCTTTCTTCTTTGATACAGCTCCTTCTTTTGCCTTCTAATCCGTTTCTGCAGGGCTACCGTCAGACGACCCTGTTCTCACATCTCTAAATCCTGGATTTTCACCGTTGTCAAGTATGTCTCCTTGATCAAGAAATGGTACTATCACCGCTAAGCTGGGTGCTCTTTGCGCGTAGCAAAAATAAGCGTCACAATCCCGTCGTCCTCTGGCGTTCTACAGAGTTCAAGCGGCACCATTTCATCTACATCAGCCGTAGGAAGTTCAAATTCTACCCTCTCTTCTAGCGCAATACCTGGTCGATCTCTAATATTCTTCGCCTATCCCCTCTCGATAGCAAAGAGAGCCCTGGGAGGTTTTGTGGTCAGCGGCACCGTTTCAGATTCCCCAAGCTGTAGCTCTGCAACTGTCTACAACCTTATCTTACAGAACGGGAATGTAAAACTTCTGGATAATGGTAAACCTATTTCCTACTCTGCCGGGGATACTTTCAAGGAGTTTCGCGGCAGCGAACCGCCGCCGGCCGGATCTTCAACGGACGTTGGATTTGCAACTACTGCTAGTGGGACGCTGGTTTGGAGCAATGCAGATCTGCCATATGGACAGGCAGGATTCTGTCAGAGTCTCAGGAGCGGACAGTTGTTCGTCACATTTACATCGGAGCCTCCAGATTGCATTCCTGTCGTTGTTAATGGTTTTGACGGTAAGCCGTATCCTGTCTCGTCACGCTATGCTTTAATCCGAGGTTCAGGAGCCTTATTAGCCCGCCCTGATGAGACAGCCGTTGACAGACTTTTTGGTGCCTTATGGACTTTGTGGTGTCGATTGAAATTGTGTAGGAAACAGACTAGTACTAACTTTAATGCATAGCGAACCGATGCGAGAACGGACAAATTGTAGGATTTTCTCTCACCTCAGATACCTTTCAGCAAACCCAGGCTTCAAACAGTGTGTCAAACTCTGTGAGAAGCGGAATTGAGAGCACCTCTAGTATTTCATCTAAGCTCTCCGGTACCATCATTCAACCTACCAGTCAAGCTACCGCAATTCCAACACCAGGTCAGCTTTTAACGTTTCCATAGGGCTCCAAGTCTGCTTAGCTTTTTCTAACCCAACTCATAGGTTCATCCTCACAATCGTCTTTTTTATCATATTCTACTTATCAGTTATCATTGAAAAGCTCTTCTGTAACAAATTCACCGCCTGGTGGCAGCCCGAAGCCAGACGTACCAACGACCGCACCCTCACAGACAACAGCAACAACGCAAACCACTACAAGCCAATCATCTTCTCCATCTCCCTCGCCCGCAAACTCTCCTTCGTCAACGGCCACGTCCACAAGTAGTACCTCTACTCTGTCTACCTCATCACTCATAGATTCAAGCTCAACTTCAGCAAGCTCCACGTCAGCAAGCTCCTCCACGACAGCAGCACCAGCAATCGCATGTACGTTCACAACCACGGCAGCAACATCCAGTAGCGCCCTCTACTTTTCTACTGTAGCCTCTTACAACTTTAACAACGGTTTGACGAATTATGCTATTGCTAACCCGGACACGAATTTGTGGGTTTCTGATGTCCCGACTATCACGGATGAAAATGGGCTGCCTAAAACGGTGGCTCAGATAGTAAACATCGCGTCGCCAAGTCCACCAGGCCCTTTTCTAGTGAAGACGGTGCATCCTTACCGTGCCTTCCTTGTGGGAGATGTTCTGTATAGGTTTAGTTTTGTAGCAAAGTCGACAACGGCTACATGTGGCACCTTTCCAAATATACGCTTCACTCTGGCTAGAGACAGCAACAACTACTCACCATTAGACATTTTCCTGGTCTCAGACGGGACTGCAATAGGCAATGACTGGTATCTATTCTATTACGACTTTAGAGTGGCACCCGGAGAGACTGGTACAGACTTTAGCATTCTCGTTAGGTTTTTCGCTGTGGCCAGTGGTGCAGTACACACGTTGAAAACCATGGCGATCGCGAGGATCTACGCTCCTGGAGAAGATCAATTTTAGAGTCTAGAGTCACATTGTATCCTTTCCATCAATACATATACATCCATTTTTTTTTTTTTTTAGTTTTCTTTTTTTCACAACTGTTGGGCTCCCGAGTTTCTAGCCTTCAAAGCCTTGCTTGTTGCCAGTGGATGTTCTGCTGCAATTCTCCACTATCACAAAAAGTGGAAAAAGACATACAACACCAGGTATTCGCTGGTCGTCACCGACCCAACTACTAATCCGGCCCTCACTGGCTTATCTATGGGAGAGCGGACGGGATCACGAGTTTTCCAGTGGGTATGGTCGTATGTATCATATTGGCCAAGTAAAGTGGCCTATATCCTTAGAGCTGACCCCCTTGACTCACAACTCTACTCACATCGCATTGTCACTTGTTCCGCGACATCTATGAGCTGACCCAGAAACACTTTCTCTCTTCCAAATGAAACTGCGTTAAAACTAATAGTATAATTATTCTAGGAACTGGACATATGTTTGCCAGGTCTTACCTGTGTGGCAAGCCGAGACTCGTTCAAGGTGCTTGGTATGCAGTGGATGACGCAAGGAGTTTATACATAGGCTATATTTTCGTAACGAGGGGAAACGGTGTTCAAGCCTAGCGTGACATGCTTTGCTCATATGAGCCTGTCCTTGTCTGCAACAGTATTCCGACTGACTAGGTGTCGACGGTTGCCACCATAGTCGCGCAATCTGTCCGGAGCACCAACAGCACGGCGGCTGTTGGCGAGATGGTTTGACGTAATCGACTATTGACCCACCGCCGTTTCCTTTGCCATCTTTTATGATGGCTTGGCCGTGTCACAATATAAAGTTTACCTGGGACTCAGCGCTTCGCGATCATTCTGTCTTTTGTCCAAAGCCAGACCACAGCTGAACAAAGAAATTTCGCCAACTCGGATTTCGTTGTTGTTAATGTATGTAGTTTCAGACGCATCGTTGTTCAACAACAACGCAAACCATTGTGGGAAGAAGACGACACACCGGTGCTGGTTTCCGGCAATTCGCAGAGTAAGAAGGTGCAACCCCTGCCAAAATTTTCCCCAAGTGGCTGCGCCACGTGTAGGAAGGTTGAGTCTTCAGGGCACTTCCTTGATAGCAGCTAATCATATTGGCAGCGGTTGTGAATCTTGATGATGGTTGAAACCTGCACATACGAATTATCCTTGGTAGCCGCCCTCCCACTGCCAAACCCAGAAAGGTCCACGGCAGTTTATGCAGAAAACTTCATCTTTTGAACTGGTGTATTAGGGGTAAGAAGCATTTTGCATCGCAGGCTGCAAACAATTGGTCAGATCCTAAGGTCTGATGCGCAAAATCCGACCATAGGTTACTTAAGCTTCGTTGCCTGTTGATAGTGCTACATGTTGACTAACCCCTTCCAACCGTCATGTCAGTTCGTGTGATGAGGTCTCGACTTGAAGCTCCTCTATTACGCAACAGAAGCATATTTGAAGATTACAATACATGTCAAATGTGGGATCAGTTGCTTCAGCGATGACTGCAGCAGTCTACAGGTTTGGCGGACAGTGCCCTTAAAGTGGTTAGAGTGTCGGGAGAAATGAGCCAAAGACAGGACCAGTGGCATGTGGCCGGCATAGAAGTTAAAGGTAATGGATACTCAACACAAGGGCCGGTCTAACGGACTACCTAGGCAGTCTGACGTTGATGTAACGTCGCACACCCACTTCTCGCACACCCCCACATTTCGCACACCCATAAATTGGGTCATCATGAGGTATTCATCAACTTCATAACTATAAGTCTGATTCGTCTCCTGCAACTGTGATACTATCGCCAGTTTTAATAGGTAATTCAGGCTCGCTAGATTCATCTGAGCTATCCTCAATTTCGCCAGCCTCAATTTGGGCTTTGTGAATTGCCTCAATGTTGGCAAACTTCGAATTTGGGCTCATTTGGACCTTACGCCGCTTCCGTACCATTCCAGCCTCAACTTCTGCTTCCAACATTGCAATCTTCTTCTCTGCTGTAGCCAATTGATAGTCCTTTTCATCAAATCCCTTTTGAACCTTCCGAAACAACAGTCGCTGCGTTTGCTGATCTTTATCCAACTTGCTGAATAAGCTAAGTTGATCATATAGATCAACTGTCTTCTTGGGCGTTGACCAGGCTACTATGGATGTAGCAGATGCCCAGTTTTCGTCTTTTCCACCATCAGAGGCCCTCATAGGCGTAGAATAGCCTGGCTTTGAGGGCTTGGAAGCATTCTCAAGCAGTAGAGGGCTCATGAGCGGTCGAGCTATCGAAATGGGCCATAGTCCTGTTGCTTTCCAGCCGCTTCTGATATTCTTGCTTGAAAATGCCATCTGGCGTGCTTTTCCATAGCAGGTAAGAAAGTTCCGTTTGCCTACAACTGTAGAATCGTTGTGTTGAATGAGGTATCCAAGCTCTTTTCGATAGGTCGCCTTGAGAGGCCCAAAGACTGCTTGGTCTAGAGGTTGGAGAACGTGGGATGTATGTGGCGGTAGGAAAAGGAGATATATCTTGTGTTTATAACAGAGATACATAAATTCTGTTGTTTCATGACTGCCATGACCGTCTAGGATCAATAGTCTCTGCTCAGAGGGATGATCAGGCTTAGTCAGAGGGATAAAGATGTTCTCAAGCCATTCCACAGCTGTAGAGTCTGAAGTCCAGCCATTCTCAGTTGCTGTGAACTTCCAACCACTGTAAATATCACGTTTATGGATATCAAGAGGAAACCATTGTTGTTGAACCGATTTCCCTCGATAAATAACAAGTGGAGGAAGCGCCTGACCAGTTGCAGAGACACACTCAAGCATAGTTGTCCAAGCCCGAGACCCAGGCTGTTTTTTTCGCATTGATGAGCTTTCTGATGATCCCAGTACTAAGCCATTTGATCCTCTGCCTTCTAGGATACCAGTTTCATCCATGTTATAGCGATGATGTGGTTTGATCGCCTTGATCTCTGGAAGGGCGAGTTGTTGAAACCATTGCCTGATTACATTAGTTGAGGCCCCATTGACACGCTTAGAATCGATGGCTCTAGCTCTATGAACCTTGATTGATGGATTTCTCTTAATAAAGAACTGAATCCAGTTTCTCCCAAGTGGCTGGGTAGTGCCTCTGATGTCTAGGATTCGCTGGGCAAATTCCTTGAGTTGTTGATGTGTTGGCGGCAGCCCTAACGCCGCCTGGATACGCACCCATTCAGCTAAGTGACTTTCCTGTGCTGGAGATAGCTTCTGGAAGCTAGAGAAAGCTACATTTCTTGCCTGTGAACCCTTTAATCGAGACTGGAGGGTTGATGGTGGAATTCCAGCATCATGAGCTGCCTTTCGGACACTCTGCCCACTTGCAACTGCATTGAGAGCTTGATTGACTTCTGTTTCCGTATACTGGCCCATTAAGCGTATAAGAGTAACTATTCAAAGAATTATAATAATCGCTGTAAAAGTGGTGAAGATATTAAAGAATGTTGAAGAGGGTAAAATTCTACATGAGCGATTTATGGGTGTGCGAAATGTGGGGGTGTGCGAGAAGTGGGTGTGCGACGTTATGTGGGGAACCGCTGTGTGCGTTTGTGCATCAAACTTTCTACTTTTAGGCTTTAGCCATCCCTTCCCCAGACCGGCTGACAGAGAGATGACAGAACAACCCCTCTTTTCCTCGGCATTTTCGTTCTCACACAGTCTTCATTGTACACGAGCAGCATTATTTCCAGTCTCTTTCCAGTGACGGCCAGTATTACTGAGAAAGGCTACCTGTAAAAGATTACTGCCCTGAGACTCACTGCCGACAACGCGCTTGCTGCAGCATGATAATAACACGCCATCGCGTGTTGCTACCACTCATGGAGAAACGAGCACGCAACATAGTATGACGAGCCAGACCTACAGTGTGTGTTCTCGTGAGGAGAATACCAGATCTATTATAACTACTGTGGTCCTCCGAGGAGAATGTAAATAAGACTACTGTACGCTTGTCATGCCCATTGACATGTGACTGTCAGTTGCCAGAGGGCGCCTCCGTCTTGGTGGCTCATCGTGAAAATGGAAAACGACCAATCCCGGCTTGGCCACTCTTTAGATTCATAACAAGGTTAGCGCACATCTCAGATATAACACCGTATTAATTCATAGTAAATTCTAGTTTATGGTCATCATGCGCATGTCTGCAATATCTGCAAAAACCATACGACAAACACGATGACTGGAGAGGGATGTTTTGCAAACTCTGCTTCAATAGATACAATGCAATTATAGAATTCTGAAAGATATACTTCATCGTTAAGCGAAGACTGCAACCCATAACATCGCCGACAGTTGCCGCATTGGAAACGCAAACCAATCCAAGCAGCACATTGATAATCTATAATTTTTAATGTTACAGCGCACTTGGGAGGAACTATTCGCCTCTACCAGATTTAATTGCTTCAGTAGTCATGTTTCGCTGAGACGTCGAGTCAACATAACGTTACTTCATTTTCTATCCTTTAAGCCACCTAGACGTTGGGCTGCAGACTTGTCTCTTGAAGCAACTAGGACCAAGGAATGATGTCACTAGAACGAGTAAAGATGTATAGGATGAACAGAAATCAGGCCTTACGATGTGCCTGGACATGGCTCCACAAGAACGCTTCAGCAGAGTTCTCCTTTGTAACTGGACTAGCTTTGAAACCCGTGAGTGGTTGCAGGCTGCAGCCTTTTGGATAGTAGGTGTAGATCCTATACCTCTGATGAACTTTTACCAACCCACGAATTTCTATTTTTCATACATCTGTAACCACAGCACATATATCTGGTTTTTAAACTAGCCTATCGACTCAAGACGATCGCATGGAAGAGACGCGTTGCAACCTATGCTGACCAGGACAAGGGAGCTCATCACTGACCCCTGCCAACCAGCTAACTGGGCTGACACAAGCGCGGCGGTGCGCGGCGGTAGGCGGCTGCACTTATTCTGGATTCTAGGTTGTAACCAAAAACAGTAAGAGAACGTATTGCCTTCCTGCAATCTATGTTGACTAGTATATCTGTCTCCTATATGATGTCTCGGCATTATTCAATAGATCGCTTTTATAGATCTCGGAGGATTCCACTGGTTTTAGAGTGACGAAGCCACGACACAAGCCGGAATCATGGAAGCTCATTTGATCATTTCAAACATTTTGAAAAAGGCAGGCCCGACGGAGTCAAATGATGGATCTCAATTAATCAACGCGGATCAAAGTGATTGGTCGACACATGCGATCGCAATGTGGGCTGCTGAATGGTTGGGTTGCGGCAGACGATTCACTCTTGCATTTCCTCGCAAAGCCCAGGAACTGAAGCCGAGATGTACGATGAAGTATATGGGACCCGGGGGGTTTAGTGGTGGAAAGTAATGGGACGGGAACTAGTGAGGAAGCTCTTGGGCCATCTGACTAGCTGCACCCTAAACATACTTTTTCTTCGAAAACTTTTGGTTCGTAACTGCATGCCGGTGTGTATAAGCTCCGCCGATGAGCCGATCACAAATGCAAAACAGATGGGCAAGACCCAGAGAAAAAGAGCGATCAGGGGAAACCTTGCTTCTTTGTACTGCATAATAAAATAGAAGAGAATCGGTTTATAAGCCTTGTTGACCACCATGTGTTCAACGAAGAGGGGTCAGACAGTCCTGTCTGCCCACCCCACTCGCTTCTGCCTCAGCTCGTCTACTCCAGCCGAGTACAACGACATTCGATGATTTCGAGATGAGCTGGTCCGAAGAACAATTCGGCTACATCGAGACCGCCGAGCGCATTGGATCAACGCTTTCTCTATTCGGTTCCTTCTTTATCATCGCTACTTTCCTGTCGTCCGTGGCATTCCGGAAGCCAGCCAGGCGAATCATCTTCTACGCCACTCTTGGAAATATTATGTCCAGCATCGCAACGCTTGTAGGGCGGGAAGGAGTCAGAAAAGGTCCAAACTCGGCTTTGTGCCAGTTTCAGGCGTTCTTTATTCAGCTGTAAACATATTCCGCGAGAGATTCAACGACGATGAATGCGACGCTGACTAATGACACACTTCAGATGGATGCCGGCAGACGCGTTTTGGGCATTCTGCATGGTTCTCAATCTCTACCTTACCCTTTGTAGAAGGTATTCTGTCGAACAGTTGCAGAGTATGGAATGGAAATATTTCCTAGCATGCTACGGAATACCACTACCTACAGCCCTGGCTTTGTGGTTTGCTCCTACGCCGGATGGCGGTCGTTACTACGGCCCATCATTGGTAAGTTATAAACCCAAGTCGCCTCTGATAGCCCTTCTAACATTGTGTTTTCAGTTATGGTGTTCCATCGCTCAAAAATGGAACATCGTCCGAGTTGCTTGCTTCTACGCGCCAGCCGGGTACGTACGCAACAAATCAACTGTAGGCCTTAACTTATAGTATCTACAGAGCTGTCATTGTCGCCACGTTGGTTGTCTATATTATTATTGCCAGAAATGTGAGGTGTATCCGGAGATCTGTCAGCGATATAAGCAGGCGGCAACGTGAGGTTATCGCATTCGACTCTCACACAAATCACGCAACCCGCACGGCTGAATTTCACAACGAACTACACACTGAAAGCTCGCTTAACTCATGTTCTAACAACGATCACTCATCCACATTTGTACGAAGAGATGTAATACAAACTGAACAGAAAAGCATGGATGACATTTACACGCCGATATCTTGTGGTTTCAATCCTGTTCTTTCTGGCTTTGATTGCAACTTGGGTAAGAACCACAAAATTCGCCTAAACTTTAACTGACATGTGGCGGATTATTTTAGCTACCCTCTATGACCAACCGTGTTTACAGCATTGTACACCCAGACCCGCCTATCTTTTGGCTTAATCTAATGGCAGCATTTGTATTGACACTCCAGGGCTTTTGGAACGCGATGGTTTACCTCGGCACCTCATGGGCTCTCTGCAGAGATCATTTGCTTCAGAAGCTCAGGTACTTGTTGTCGGGGAGGCAACTGCCACGAACGTCCGATGCAGCACTATCCACGATCGAGACCAACAGGCAGAGAGTATGAAGTAATGATGTTTAACGAAAAGGAGCAAGTCGCTTACCTAAGATTGGGGCGTTTCGAGGTGTCGAAGGTTGTTCACTTTATCGACATAATGCGGAGGTTCAAATTATTTAAACATTTAATCACCAATTCTAAAACAACTTTCACATTCATCAAACATTTCTCAAGATTCGCTGTTGGTGAGCAGGAAAGTTAAAGCCAAGTTTCTAATCCAGCTGGACATCTCGTCGGTTTCGATAAACTGTGTCCTGAGCTTGTGACGTGGGACACTGAGATTCTATTTCACAACTCGAATGATATCAATTGATAAGAGACCAGTATCACCTACCGATTGGACTTTGAGCACAACGTGTTGTTGGTCACATGCTGCACAGATTACTATCAGAATGATCCGAGGTCAAGCCGTTGATACTTGTGGTGTGGATGCCAGATGTCAAAACAGCTGGTAATCTGTGCTTGGGACAACTAGAAGATAGATCCTTGCATTCTAGCCCCTAAAGGCTCAAGCTAAACGGCAGCTCTACTCATCTACGTTATATGATCACCACTTATGGTTCCTTGAGATTACTAATTGAAGTATCCAGGTTGTATCCATGTCTTCCTTAGCACCTGAGGTGGCCGTCGTTATTACCAATGCAAGTATCTGCGATTTGTCAGTAAATGCGTTTGTGTGAGCCCATATTCACTCACTCAAGTCAATCCAGGTGGAAACTTTGTGGTTGGGATCCTTGGTGCACTGGCAATTGAGAATTTTCCCACCACTTCCAAGGCCACAGTCGCATCCGACGAAATAAGGTCTGTTATATGTTAGAAAGACGCAACATCGTATGAATCGTAAACGCATACTTGCTAGGCCGACACTATTCCGTTGCATTAGTATTCATGACATTATAGAGCAGGAGGGCTTTGCAATTACTATAATCTTTCCTCCAACGTTTGCAAGACATCTTCCGAGGTTGACAGATGAGGTTGGCTGGCTTGCTTCATCAACAGGACCGGCCGTAAGACAATCGGCGGTCAGCGTGTTGCCGGAATAGTGCACGTTACTGCACGACGCGAAAAAGTCGCCCGTGGCCGTCACGAATGGAATGGCCATGGCCACCGTTATAACCGCAGAGAATCGCATTTTGATAGTAGAAAGATATGCTTCACTGGAATGATTGAAAGGCTTGTGATATGTTGAGAAAAAAGTCTTTTCATACATGATTGAGAGGGAGAATATTCCTCACTTATATACTCAAAATATCGACTTCGTAAAGCAGAACGGGCTGCTTTCCGGAAACCAATCTCGTAGCTGAAGACATATTTTTCCGTCTATCAAGGACACTAGCCCATCGAGAGTGGCTCGCACTGTTCAATAGAAGGCGAAGCTGATCCGGATAGAGCCTAGAGAGCTATCCGCTACAATTACCGAGTCAACCGGGAAGCTGGCTCTGGTCGCACTACCACTTGATACTCGTATTGACTGTGACTAAGGTGAGCAATGAATCGATGAGTGACCGGAAGAAAGTTTACTTTGAACACATCCTAGTAGGGGGTCAGAGTTTGTGAGATGAAGTTCCTCAGGTGCATTTCCATGGAATGAACAATGTCCTTGATAAATTAAATTCGACATGCTAGCGCCTGGTCTAGTTTGAACGACCGGTATGCTGTTAGATACAACTGGCCGACCAAACCTCACAAGGCCCGACTCACTCAAATCCGAAGCTAGGTACTTTGGCGATGAAGTAGTTAATGAGATACCTATCGATTAGCCCATCGGGCTATGGCGGCGCCTAGATCAATCTTGAGCAGATGAATAACTATTTTGTCTAACATATAATCTGTGTGTATGGGGTAGTGTTGCTCCCGGCTCGTGCCCCCCAGCTGATGCGAAGCTGCGGTTGGCGAATCTTGTGTGAAATAAGCAGAGTGCTAGTACGTTCTCTAGCATCATATGAAATCGGTTAAAGCGGCAAGCCCAGCACAATAGAAACTCGCAGACATATTATTCACGCAGGCCGACCTAAGTAAGACAAGTGTAACGACGACATTGAGGCAGACGCGTTAGACACTAGGGTGTAAGGGTCACACAGGGGGTACCCTACTCTGGATCACAGATCTAACCAACGATGTGGGGTCCGGACTACACAAGTTGTTAAACCGAAGGCAGGCTGTAAGGTATCCTGCTTCTTCTTACTACACTTTTTGACGTGCGCTTGGTCGATATTCTAATCTCCAAGTGTTTCTGGTGTTATTGTACCATGCGGGCTGGAAAGAATTTTGCTTGTCCCTTAGATGAGAAGAAGAAAAAATATAACAAGAATGGAAGATAAAAAACTGAATAGCTAATGTTTCTGGTCGTATTTAGAGTTCTTAGTTCATCACCCTCGGAGGTCCGACCTCGGGTACACGGAACAACTGTCCTAGCATTAGACTGTGTATTGATGTGGACCTGGGCTTACATGAAATACCGTACCATAAACATTAGGATGTAAGCATTTATTTAGCATTTAACCGCATTTGATCTGATCTTCGTAGGTCGGGCTACTACCCATTGTATGAAGATGGGTCATCCCTCGGACTATCTTCAAGTCCGAGGCCGAGACTGAGACAGATTTGTCCGTACAGCTCCGCTTAGTTAAATTTCCATTAATCCTAAACTACATGACTGCCGGTTCTACCAGGAATGAATGTTGGTATATTGCTTGCAGCTCTCAACTACCCAACATCGTGAGAATCGTTGAAGCTACCACAGATCGCTTTGTAACCGAAGCCTTGGGAACTTGAAGGCGAGCGGTGGCACCGATGTCTCCACGCACAAGAGTCAAGCCTGAAGCCTAATATTTAACAAGGGCTAACAAGACTTTTCCGGAGCACGGTAATCCCTGCTCCTTTGAAGAAATGTTTTTTACTAGAATACTTATTAAACACACAGTATTCTATGTTATAGAGCTTTACACACAGCGGAAAACTGGCAATTGTTCTATGGTGTTACGGGCTATGCTCTGTTGATAGCTAAACCATTATCCCTACTTAAGTGTAGCTAAGCAACAAGTGCACGACTTGTTGTCACGTATCCTTTTGGGCGTTTAGCTCAACCTCTATTATTAATATGTGTCGGAGGCTGGTATGCGGCTGCCACTGCAACCCTGTAGGCGGGGTCTGGCCCTTCACACATAGACTATGAAGGCTACCCTGCCGTCTTGCCCACGCTAGGCCTCGAAAGCCTAGTTGCGTACACCACTACGCGTATTTTGCCCCAAAAAGGGATAGGGGCGGTAGAGATGGTACTGATGTGAAGGGAGAGAGAAAGTTAATTTAGCGGGCCGCCGGCTTTATCGCAACTTTGCGGCTATAGCGGCCACCGAGGCCCGATTGTGTTCTGGATAGTACGGATTGATTGGTAATACACACTGGGAAGATGTGATGCTAGGATACTGAAATCAGTATTCTGCCAGCATTCGACAATGAAGCAACAACTTGAAATTGAATATAGATTATGCAGCTCGTTGTAAAGTAGAAAAAGGTATATATGTGGACAAAGACTGGCTTGTGACCAGAACATTGGTTGTTCAAAATTTCTAGACTACGAGACGTTATTCACAGTACCATTGCTTTCACCATCAAGCAGCCTCGAGGTTGAATTCTCAGCATACTATCTTACATTATGACGAATAACGAAGCTGCTTGGATCAAGCATGATAAGGCCTACCCTCTTGAAGTCGGTCCAGCCCCTTTCCCTGAAGCTGGACCTGGAGAAGTCGTTCTTAAAAACCAGGTGATAGCATTGGTAGGCTTATTCATTAACGAAGCTCTCATGACGATTAAATAACACATCCGGCAGAACCCTGTTGAGTGGAACATTCAGTAGGCAGTGATTTCCTTGAACAGTGTGAGCTCTCACACAATACTTACGATTCTCAAGGGCGAACAACTTTTTCATCAAGGACTTCCCCTTCATCCTCGGTGCTGATGCCGCAGGCTATGTTGAGGAAGTAGGCGAAGGAGTAACTCATGTACAAAAGGGGCAGCGCGTGATGGGGTACGTCCAGAACGGAAGATCTCCAACCCACGTCTAGGCCGTTAGCTTGTGCTCCGGGGTGCTTTTTGTGCTGATGCGACACTCGATGTAGGTATTGCATGGGTCTCGGTGTGAACAAACCTTCATACGGCGCCTTCCAGCGGTACCCGACCCTGTTTGCTTCACTCGTTTCCCCAATTCCCGATTCAATCACTTTGGAGCAGGCAGCTGTGCTGCCTCTGGCCATTACCACCGCCGCGACGAGCATGTACCACCAGGACCACCTCGCTCTCCCACTTCCACAGCTGGGAGTCCCGAGAACTCACGAGACAGCCAAAACAATCTTGATCTGGGGCGGCGCGTCATCCGTCGGGAGCGTCGCGATCCAGCTGGCTGTAGCATCTGGCCTTGACATCATCACGACAGCCTCGAAGCACAACCATGAGTTCGTTCAGTCTCTTGGCGCCGCTCAGGTCTTTGACTACAAGTCAGCGACAGTGGTTGACGAGATAGTTGCTGCGCTTTCCGGCAAGAACCTGGTAGGCGTTTACGACTGCATATCAGAGCCGGAATCCATGGAGCCCCTTGGAGCCATTCTCGATCGAACTGGACCCAGCAAGGTCTGCTTCATTGTGCCTCCAAAGATAAATCTCTCCAAGAATATACAGTGGACAATGTGTACGCCTCCTTCTCCTGCAGAACTTTCAGCTTGACAGGTTAAGAACTAACCCGGGGTTTCAGCTCTGGCTTTTGAGATTATGAACGACAAGGGGAAGCCGGTACTCGACCACGTGTGGGGCAAATTTGTGCCAAAGGCCATCGTAAACAAACAACTCAGGCCTAAGCCGGACCCAGTCGTGGTTGGTAATGGACTTGAGGACATCCAAGCTGGCATGGACAAGCAAAAAGCAGGGGTTTCAGCCAAAAAGCTCGTAATCAGGCTCTAAGGGCCAAGTACCTTGCCTGTTTTGATGTTCTTGTTTTTGTGGTTTAAGGATGAGTGAGTGGTAGACTCCGACCTAAATCAGTACGAAAGCTTAATCAAACCTGGCTCCAGTTCTGTTTGACATGATAACTCACTGAATATACTAAAGAAGAAAGCGACGAAACTGAATGGAATACAAGCAAGATTCCCATGGGTTTTAGATCTAATATCAATGCATTGTCCGTTTCGATTCGAGCGCTTCGATATGAAGTTCCTTCTCTGGCCTAGGAATGTCACTTATGCTCCCCCCTTCTCCAAAATCCCACTCCGGGGCGTATATGGCTGGATCTGCACCCCCAGATAGAGCATGCATCCGTAGGATGTCCCACTGGAACTTGAGGATCCTTTCGCTAGGCGGGGCAGCCTTGTCGGTCCCCCAAATCTCAATGACTTGACCGTCGGCAAGTGGCAGGCCGTTCACATCATAAACGGCAACCTCCGGGTCCCAGGCTTTCCACATATTTCGTGGATTGGCACCTGGGGCGGGTACGTCATACAAGGACGCCAAAGTCGTGCGCTTCAGCCAGTGGAATCGAACCTTGATGCCGTACACCATTTCGGGGGCTTGCTTTCCCTTCTTCATCTCTGTCACGCTTGCTGAAGCCCTTGGGGGTAAGCTTTGAGCGGGCGTGTCTCTAGCGGTGGTTGTAGATTGCTCGCCATCTGCTACTTTGGGTTTGACAGGTTTCTCTATTTGTCCATACGGCTCCAGGGCAAAGAGACCAGCCTCCCAGTATTTTTGAAGTTGAGCACATAGGGTGATCATATTCTCAGGGCTGTCGACTTTGTTACTGTCAGGGGAAGTGAGACACTGAATGAGGTCCCTCGTGTAGGGTATTCCATAGACGGCGGTCAAGGTCCTCAGAGCACCATGCACGATTGTCTTTTTGTTTATCGCCCAAAACGGCCAAATATGGCAAACTTCAGGATAATCTTTACCGGTCAAAACGCAACGCGAGCCGTCACGAGCCAGAACCTGTAGAATGTAAGCCTCTGCTTGGAGTGAAACTGCCTTGTTTGTTGTAGAAGTCGATGTACCGCTTCTACCGCCCCGATACCTCGTTCAATGTTCGACTCTTCCTTGGGCCAGTCTTCCTTGGGTCCTTTGGTGACTGCGGATTGGTCAGCTGAGGTTGGGTTAAAGAGAAAAGTACGATTACTCACAGAACCACACGAGATGTTCGATTTTTTCCAAGTATGTGGGTATATGAAAGAGTAAAGACTGTTTCTTTTCTTCATCTTGTAAATCTTTGGCGAGTCTTTCGAGAATATCTATTTCGAGAATGAAAAGTTGTGCCCAGAGGTGCGATTGATTGAGTGTTTCCAGATCTTGCTTCGAAACGACACCATCTTCATCGTGGCAGAGGATACGGATTCGGTTAACAAGGTCAAGTCGGATTGCGAAATCGTCTCCGCCAAGGTAGTCCTCGTGGGGCCCCATTTCTCGAACGACTTTGGATGTTAAGATAGCATTGAGGGAATCAAGCTGCAAAGGGGATGGGCTGGGTCGTCCGTCCTTTGGGTGAAGAAAGTCGGCCAGAAGTTGTTGAAATCTGGCAGTCTCCTCCGGACTGACAGAGAACGACATTGTGACAAAGAATACAGCTTTGAATCAGTCAGCCAGTTGGTCAAGTTTCAACGAGAACCAAGGGTAGAACGCACACCTTACTGCTGTGCTGTCGTGTATGGGCAGTATGTGACTGTGAACAAGAGGAAGAATGGAAAATTTTTTCAAAGCAAGGTCGGCTTGGTTAATTAGGCTTCAAGGTGGCCTGAAGAGAAAATTTCTGGGAGGGCTTCTAAATATCTCTTTGGGTCTTTGTTGATTAGGTACCTTTACGTTCGCCGGTCTCCCTCATTCTGCTTCGTGCAGCAGTCCTTTACGTTCCCTTGTCCTGCAATCTAAAAATGCTTATTTTATCTTTCGGCATAAACACCACAGGCTTGACCACGGAACCACCAAATCTTAAGGCCGACCAGCTTTGTTGACTGATACTTGTGTATGGTTGGGAAGGCATTTCATTCTGTGCAAGTGATTCTTATTTACGATGCCATTAAAGCAATGCCTTGAGTCTCAAAGTACATACATGTCCCACTCCAGCTGCGTGTCTCTTCCGTTCCCAGCTCCGCATACAACATTCGATGAGCAAATGCCTCGATGCCACCAGCAATTATTTGAGACCGATTGATCTCGTCCCCGAAGCCCAATGGCATAATAATTTCCTTGCAAACTGATGATGCAAGATCCTCGCGTGCCGCGCCAAAACACCCTAACTGAAATTATGTCTGCGAGCAGCATGTGCAATTTGCGTCACGGTATATCACCCGGATCCCCGTCTCTAGACTGATAACCTCCATCGCCAACATGCCGTTTTCCGTGATCTTTCCGTAAAGTTTGACGCCTCTTTCCTCCAGTGGCCGATATACGGACAAAAAGGTCGAACCGTGGTGTGCAACCCAGTTGTGAAAATCAGGATAGACGGCCGGATCGATGGGTTGCAAGCCTCGGTGAATGATGGGTCCTCTAAGCTCGGGAAGAACAGTTCCAACGCTCATATGGATAGCTTTAAGATTCGGGATAGTTGCGATGGCTTCCACAGCTTTGGTATTCTCCTTGCTGAAGAAATATCCCAGGGGGACGAAGAAGCGCTGGATAGAGTTGAGCAAGGGGACGCATTGAGGGTTAGGATGCGTGAGAGCCTGCCTGAAACGTATCGTTGGCTCGGAGGGGCCCACGATTTTGTCGGGAACCATGGCACGGGTTTGGCAGTTAATCTGTGAGGGGAGGCGTGTGTGAAGGAACCGAGATAATGGCAAATCTGGCCAATATTGTGGGTTCCCTTCAGAGTCTATCTTCCGGACGACAATCCTCGATGGAACCTTATACTGATATCCAAGTATCCAGGCCGCCGGCAATTCCGAGAATCTGACCGAGTTGATGAGCTCGTCAATGACCTCAAGAAAGATCTCATAGGGGAGATACGCTAGACCAGTCTTGCTTTGAGCTTCTCTTTGTGGTGGGCACGGTAGAGATGACTTGCCAACATCCTTGAAGTTCAAGGACAGCGGCTTACTCAAAGACATGGTGCTGATCTGTGACAGGATGAAGGGTGGAAGGTGCGTAGTCTGTTGTGGCCAACCAGCCAAGATGATCTGTTCAGTTAACTCTGTAAGTATTGTGGTTCGCGTGAAAAGGGCGAAAGAGATTTGCTCACTTTTCAGACACAGGTTGTGTCAAGGGAGCTTGACGCACAGTGAAAGAGAACGCGACTTGTGAGCTGAGGAAGGTCGTGAACAGGGCAAGGTTGAGTTTAGGAGAACTGAATCTTGTGGACCGAGAAGAAAGTGATTTTTGATTCTGAATTGTGAATCAAATTTTGTGCGAAAGAAAAATTGATGCTTTGTTTGTTGTGCTGGCAGTGGAAGCTTTCAGCTGGTGGGTGGGCTAAGGTTGTGGAAGAAAATTGAAATTGGGTTCAAGTCGGCAAGAACTGGGCTGCTCCTCTTCACTTGATAGGACCGCCTTCCGAAAAAGAAAATGGGGGAGGTAGGGTTGTGATTCACAAGCAATGCTTGTAAGTGTGCTGCCTGTAGCACTTGTTCAGTGAGAATCCAACATCAGTATCCTGTTACCGCCATCTCCCGGATTATCATCTTTAATGGTTGCCATAATTCATACTCACAGAGTCGCTCATCAAATATTGCTCACTTGGATAATTCATAAGACTGCTCAATGGATTATAGTGCAAAGTCTGACCTGTGATTAATGCTCAAAACGTGTGTCTACCGCCTTTCAATCCTCCCATGATGATTCCTATTCCGTTTTGATTATCATACAAGTCCTTTCCTAAACCTTACAATCCAAATGAGTCATGAAGTCCTCCTTCCTGTGTTCCTTTGGCTACATAGCGTTCCCTTTGCCGGTTTTGGCAAGTTCGCAGCAAGGGCAGTCTGGCTCCAAGAACTTGATACGAATGTACTCCTTGGTGATGATCAGCTCCATCATGGGCTCCGCAGGATTGATAAGCGTTCCATAGAGCTTGATGCCTCTCTTCTGGAAGGGTCCCCACATGTGGAAAAAAGATGGACTCAGGATAGCCCACGACGAGAGCTCAGGGAAGATGTTTTCGTCAATGGGTATGATCCCACAATGTCTTTTTCCTGGCGTCATTAGAATATCATGATTGAACATGCCGACGTTCATTGACACTTGTTTTAGATTAGGAAGAGTTGATACCATTCGGACCGCATCGGCGTTAGTTATGGTGAGATAATAAGTCGATGGAAGGTACAGTCGCTCCAGACAAGCAACTATAGCATGGCCTTTCGGGGTGGGCAAAGTGAGGTTCTGGAGGAACCAGTGCTCTTCTGGAGTCAGTTCGACAGAGCTTTGTGAGCAATAGGGAATGAAAGCATCAATGCGAGAGACCACCCAGGCCTTGACAGATGAGGGAGTATGGCGCTCCTGCAAAGGGAACCGTCGGAACTTCTGGTGAACCATTGATCTCATCTGTCTGTTGATCTGTGACACAAGGCGGATAGCCCGGAAACGTGCTCGCTGCGGTGATCCCTGAGGTGGCCCATTGTAGTCGTCGATCAGAAGTAGCTTCTCCGGGAATTCGGAATCGTATTTGATCCACCAGACCTTTTGTTGCTGAGATTCTTCGGCCTCAAGAGTGAGCTCGTCCATAACGTTCAGGAGGATCTCGTATGGGATAATGAGGCCCTCTTTTTGGTTGAGCGTCTTCTGAAGAGACATGTCTGCAATTGTGCCAAAGGACCTTTCTCCTAACTTCGCTTGTTAATTTTGATAAGTAAGGACTGGAAGGACAGATCGTTCTCACTGTTGGGTAAGCTCTGAGGCTGCCGTGAAAGCTAGTAGGCCGGGCTGGGGAATCTGCAAATCTGGAAATCTGCAGTGTTAGAAGCACGAGAAGAGGCACGAGTAGGTGGGAAATATACCTTTTCACCGAATATACAAGATAATGGTGATTCACGCGCGTGAAGTTCTGCTCGTCAGAGTCGGGCCTCTGAAGCGACTCACGAGAGAGCTGGAAGGATAGCTCAAACTCGGGTGAGGGTTAGTGGAAGAGAAAAAGTGAGTTCTCGTTCACGAGAAATCTGTGAAATAAATACCTTTTGTGGGCTGAGTTGTTGAGTGAACCAGCGGTCCAAGTGATATGGGGAGAACAGAAGGCAAGAGCTCAAACTGGTACGCTGGTTCCTTCCTAGGAAGGTACACCCAACACCTGCTTTATTTAGGCACATATCAAATCTTTTCAGATAACAGTGGCCATGTCTCAATCTCAAAGCACCGAGCCAAAATGATATTCTTAAGTAACAACCAAATGATTGGTTACAAATGTATTGGTATCTAGAGACGAAACCGGACAAGCAATTGACATAAACCGCCCTCGATGAATCCGTACTCCATGAACAACCCCAGAGACAATATTGACTGAACATACACTCAACTCCATGACCCATAGACGCCAATCTTTCCTCCTCGCTAACAGTAGTATATCGCCATTCAAGCTTCTCCAGCTCCTCTTCACTGTTGGAAGCCGTTGCATGTACACACATAACCAACAAGCTTGACGCGAACGCCATCTTTCGTCGGAAAAAGCTCCACCTTCTTCCTGCTCGCACTCCCACCAAAGCCTACAAACACGGCGACACCCCTCTCCTGAGCCTGCCGACAGAAAGCATCCAGTGCCTCACCGTGAGTTTCCTCCCATTTCCCGAGAGTCGGAAATATACTCGAATCTATTGGAATCAACTCATCGCTGGGGTGAGGGTGGTCTCTTGAGACTTGATGATGTGAGCTGACAAAGACCACGTCTGAATCTAGCGTGATTTCCCGAAGGTTCGGAAGCGACAACACCGTCTGGATATCCGTGGCGTACTCTTCTTGAAGAAACTCCCTCGGCATGCCGTGTATGCTCACAATGCACTGGACAAGGGTGCTGTCCTCGGGAGTCGGTTGCTGCAGAGCTTGTCTGAGACGCGAACAGTCTTCGGGCATGGTGCAAAAGATGGGCGCGAAACGATCGATCTTGGGATACACCCACAGAAACGCTGTCCTTTGGGCGTACGGATCCCAAATTGTTATGCGATGGAACTTCTGATGTACCATGCTACGAGTCTTGCTGCTGATCTGTGATGCGAGGCGCAGCATGCGAAATCGCCACATGCCTTCGTCTACCGTGTGCTGAGGCCCCGTGTACAACTCGCTGACTTGCGCGCTAAGCCTCGACTTGGTGCTGGAGTTGAGAGATAGGTAGAAACGCATGCTGATGGGGTCTGCCGAATACTCGGCTCGTGAAATCAAGACGTCGATCACACTCAGGAATATCTCGAAAGGAAGCGGTGGAGGATCCACATCCGCGCAGGAGGCCATGTTTAACCGTGAGCTTAACGCGCCGGACAGCGAGGTGGGGGAGTAAGGAGAATCCATCTGGGCCTGAAGCCGGTGACGGGAGACGGAGGCCAAAATAAAATGTTAGTGTAGAAAGATGTTTATCTGATACGGCTCATGTGTTAGAGGTCATGAACGCAAGAAGACTTGCAATGCTGATTAACACGTACTGGCTTAGTGGCAAAAGCCTAAGGTGCCCTTGAAAATGTGAGGAGTATGAGATACTACGGGGTTATGTTTTCGAGAAGAACTTTTTTTCCCCCTTCCCTCTCTCTTTTCCCCTGTTAAAGCGTAAAGATGCGGTCATGACCTTGACTAGGAAAGAGGCTGGCGTACTAAGGTGCCACCGTTGTTCGACGGAGTGAAATCGGGCGACAAAGAAAGAGGCGGGCCCGCCAGACCAAGTTGCTTCGGACAAGGGCCTTCTTCACTCAAACACAAAGACTAAAGTCAATTGGGAATAAATAAAAGTGCCGCCACACTCCTTTAACTAACTGCAATCTCTTCACTGCCATACAAAGAAGCCACTTCGGGTAAGAGGAACAGCCACCAAGGGATCAGCTAGTCCCGAGACACCCACCCAAGGCCCCGGGTTCGCTCCCCTTATAGTCATCCCAGGGTAGAATGTCGCCAATTCGATGTTCTTTGCGCATTCAATAATGGCTAGACCGCTGCACCTGGTCGTTCGATCTCGGGAGGACCAACATGCCGCGGCACAGCTTCCCCTAAGGAAACGTTGTACCCCAAAGCGCAGCCGCCGAGGCGCCGCCGTCTAAAGGGGATCTTAATATAGACATACAGGGTCCCTCGGCAAAAACGAGACCTCTTCGTCATCGGACACCAGGGAGACGCGACGTCTTTGCTCTCGTACCGCGGTCACTAGTCGCTGTCGCTGTCGCTGCTTTCTTCCTCCTCGTCATTGCCTTCATCACAATCACCATTCCGGTCATTGTCCTCCTCGTGTTGATTGTTATTGTCATTGTCGTCTTGTTCATCTTGGGTTTGGGTTTCGAGATTGGTATAGTCGTAGTCCTCATCGTCACAGTCGAAGAAACAGTGTTTCCGAACCGGTGGAGGCCGAAGGGTGCCGAGAGCATCCATAGTTTCGTTGAAAGCGATATTTCGGGACCTGCTGAGATGAATGGTTAGATACAAGTGTTGGAACCACATGGTATGGGTAGGTTTTCTCTGACCTTCGGTCTGGGCACTGAAGTTCTCGAAGGAAACGGTGATGCCCAAAAAGTAGCAAACTTTCTGCTCAAGGCTGGTGTTTGGCGTCAAAATATCGGGCAGATGAGAAGGGCGGCAACATAGGTGAAGTTGGATGAAGGAACTCGCTTGTTTTTGGACAAGGAATGTACAAGCCACAAGGAGTTCCCAACTGTTTTGTCTTTCATGCAACCATCCGTCTTCGCCAGCTTCCACGTATCAGCTTATCGAATGACCGAAGAAATGGCCTCATTGCCATGAATAAATAAGGGCGCAAGGCATAAACCATGTTACTGCTGTGTGTGGACTTGGGCTGCAATCTCAAAAAAGCTACTGGGAAACGCGCTTGTCACTCTGTTGCGGTATGCGAAGTCACAACCAGCCTAAATATCATCAATGATTGGGTTCAATGAGTGGCGTGACACATGATCAAAATCTAAAAATGACATTTGCTTGCGATAATTGAAGCACGAATGTAGACAAAACTACCGTAGAAGTTGCTGTTTTTCCGCTTAGAGAACCACCAAGAAGCCGACAACAACGTTGACGGTTGAGACACGGCGAAGTACCACGGGCCTGTTGAGCGAAACGTTGAGAACATGTTGCACCGAGTCACGCGAAGCCCATTTTCTTTCAATGTTGGCGAACAGTCTTATGACTTTGCCGGTTTCTGAACTCACCATGTGGTATACATCTTAAACTACTTTACTCCCGCATCTGTCTAGTTGATGCCAGTGAGATTATTAGAGGTTAGAAGGTACATTCGGTCTGTGTCTCATCTTTCTCAAAATTTCCTGCGGCCTTATATTTGAATCACTAGGCCTGCGCCCTCGCTTCTCCTGGAGTAATATCATGTCTGCTGTATTGGTAGCATTCCGTTCGATGCGACGCACACTTCGGGTCAAGACTGAGATTCGGCCGAACTTCATGTCCAACGATTCTTGCGGCGATGGAACCCGGCCATTTAACAAGGATATCGAAAAACGCCTAACAGAACGTTTTCTGCAGATCTGGAATTTTAGTCTTATTCTTGATTCCCCCATTGGACGCCGCGACAGATCCGGCAACCATCGACCCCGGGTTTTGGCATGTCGGGCGACGGCCACCGCGGGGAAGTGGGCCTTGGGATGACATCTCCAGGGACGCGGAAGTGTTTTGCAGCGCACAGGGTAAAGTTCCCAGATGGAGTTCCCTGCAACGTGGGAGGGCTTGGCAGCGGATGCCTGTCTAGAGTGAGGAACAGGTTGGGATGGATGTCGTATGTGCGATTGTCTTTTTTCCCAAAGAATTTAGTGACTTCCTTAGCATGCTTCTTCGTTCGATTGCATCATTAACAGCGCCCTGAAGATTGTTTATCCAGACAGTGAATGAAACCTGCAGGAATTGAAAAAAGAAAATGAAAAAAAAAAAAAAAAAAAAAGGAGAAAAAATGGGCTGGGCAACGTCGTGTATCAAATCTCAACGGTATGAAGAGCCGTTTCATCAATCATCACCTGACTACAATTATTACATGTTGAGAACCCCTCTTTCGGGTTGACGAAAGACTTGCGGGTGCTGATGTCAGATCAAACAAAGTGTTTGTCAAAGGGGGGAGGGAGGATATCTCCGTATATCGGAGCCGAAAGCGGAGTTCAGCTCATCCGAAGCCCCACCTCCCCCGGTTCTCTTGTGGCTTCCGAATTGGGAATCAGGCACTGGCCAGAACGCGGCCCTCGGTGCCGATTTGGCTTTCCAGGCTTGGTATTTTTCCCTATTCTTGCTTTTTTTCTCCCCTTTCTCTCTCCTGCCAGGTTCATCCCTTCATCTCACCTCAGACGCAGCGTCCTATAAATTGACGGACTGGGTGTGAAGTGGTCCAGTGACAACAAACTGCATACCACCACCAAACCGGCTTTGCTGCAAGGCTTGACACGTACTTAGCCGCCTTTTTCAATCGCGCTGCTTTTCTAGAAATTCCAGCTGAATTGATTTGCCGTCACCACTAACTAGGCCAAGGCCAACAGATTCGGGCAGACATGTGTATTTTCCCGCGGGCAGGACCCCGCTAAAAGGGTCTCGGATATCGCCCGGGCCAAACCAGGGACAGGCGCCGGGAATAATTTGCGACACTTTGCGAACGAGACATTGTTGACAGGTTCCACTTAGGAGGGTGGGAAGCCATGCGGAGGGCGCAATCCGCAAACCTTCAAGGTGGTATTCCCGATAACCTCGACGTCTGCGAATTGTTTGGAGCAGATCATCAAAGAAGGAAGCTGTGTAATGAATGATGGCTACACCTATGCAAGGCTCTTCTTTGAGTGTGTCGTACGAACAGTTTTATGCTCAAGAATCCTTTGATCACCTACAGAGTACTTGGAAACCCTCTTAGCCGGTGGCCAGAACTACTTCATCCGCTTCTTATTCCCATGGGGGAGGTGGGGCCCGAAGCGGACCTCGGTTGGGATCCACTCCTCCTCTTCATCTCACGACCAAGATAGGCTCCTTTGATAACGAACGATAATTTGTCAAATTGGCATATCGGAGGCATTCTGTTTACGATGTTGGGAGATGTTGAGATTGCAAACTTGTGTCTGCTGGTAATTTACGCTCTTGTAACTATCAGTATTGATGAGTGATGCTGTTTCAATACTCCAAAGCCGGAGGATCGTATAGACAAAGCTCACATAATCCCGCCGCTCACCAAGCCATTAGTCCTCTTGGTTGCCGGATATCTTAGCCCAAAAAAATGAAGCAGTCCTTAGCTCCGTTATTTATCCCCGGGGGGTAAAAGAAAAGGGCGGATCGACCAAGTTCCTTCCTACACACGCTCCGATTGCGTGCCATGATTACCCACACCGCGCCCACTACGCCCTTTACATCGGTGGATCGGATGCGGGCTGCCGCCCACCACCCTTGAGCCTATCCACACCAACCTCGACGGTCCGCCGCGTTGCCCAAATTTTGTTGGCTCGTCATTCGCATCTTTGCTGTTTCTCGACTCTCTTTTCTCTCACGGTCCTCCTAACCACCCGGTCTGAATGTCCACTAGGTGACTCATTTCCCGTCTCCATTGGTCCCCTACGCCCCGTACACTTCACATATCCTGGTCGAGAGACGCAGGAAAGGAGCACCTCACTGGACCCTGGCATTGTGGTTTTTTTTGGTTGTAAGATATTGCGACGTTAAAACTCTTGTCCCGAGGCTCAACCTCGCGTCTGTCCGTCTTTCTGCTCCCCATCCCCATCTTACGCCTCTGCAAGACACTTCGTTTCTCCTCATTCCTTAACAGGAGCATTCGAATTTGCTGCGCGCGTTCGCCTAAGAATTAAGCTTATTGAAAGCCCCCCCTCTCAGCGTGCTCGCTCGTTAATCATGTCTGCCGTGCCCGATCCGGAAAAGGGGTCCCACGCGGCCGACACCGCGACAACGACAAGCTCCGGCCAAGACTCGCCGCCACTCCGCCCTTTGAAGGGCGTCGAGTCTCGGCACAGCCACCGGAGCCGCTCCTTGTCCCACTCGTCCACCGACACTGACCCCCTCGAGCCTCTCTCTCACGCCCTTACCCCCGACCTCGAGACCGAGGCCGAGCATGCTGCCCGGGAACCCATTACGTACATGCGCACCGGCACAAGTGTCGGCAGTACCGCCTCGCGCCCGCCTGATTTTGAGGTCACCTTCGAGCCTGGGGACCCCGAGAACCCCAAGAACTGGCCGTTGTGGTACCGTGGCTGGACCATCTTTGTTGTCTCGTTCTCTACCTGGGTCATTGTCTTGTACAGCACCAGTTACACGGCGTCTATTCCAGGCCTTGTGGAAGAGTATCATTCAACAACCGTCATTGCGACGCTGGGTGTCACAACCTACCTCCTCGGTCTCGCTGCTGGCAGTCTGATCGTTGCCCCCATGAGTGAGCTTTACGGCCGTCAACCAGTCTACATTGTTTGCTTCATCATCTCGTCGCTTCTCATCATCCCATGCGGCCTGGCCAAGTCTTTGACCACGCTCATTGTCGTCCGCTTCTTTGGGTGAGTTAACCTGCAAATACAGTTTTGAGCATGACGTCTAACAAGGTCACAGCGCCCTCTTTGGTGCCGCCTTGGTAGCCAACAGCCCCGGAACTGTTGTCGACATCGCCGATGAGGAGTACCGCGCACTCGCCATGTCCTTCTACAGCATTGCACCACTGAACGGCCCCGTTACCGGACCCCTCATCGGCGGCTTCGTCTACCAGTACCTAGGCTGGCGGTGGACTAACTGGGTCGTCCTCATCATCGCCGGCTTTGCCATCTGCCTCATGTTCACCCTCAAAGAGACATACGCCCCGACCATCCTGCAGCGCAAGGCCGCCCGCCTTCGCAAGGAGACCGACGACCCGCGCTGGTGGTGCCGTTACGACGAAAAGGTGTCCAAACTGCACCTCCTCAAGGTCAACCTCAGTCGCCCCTTTATTTTCAGTTTCACCGAGCCTATCCTGTGGTTCTTCAACATTTGGTAAGCACCTTGGGCTTTCTCTCTCTCTCGTGACGTTGACATACTGACCACCTCCTAGGATCTCTTTGATCTACGGCATCCTCTACCTCTGCTTCGTCGCCTACCCGATCGTCTTCTCCCAGCACCGCGGCTGGGGCCCGGGAATCTCCGGTCTTGCCTTTATCGGCATCGGCATCGGAACGATCCTCGCCATCGTAAGCGAGCCCATCTTCCGCCGCATCATCAACTCCCACCCCAAGGACCCCGTCACCGGCCGCGTCCCGCCCGAGGCTACCGCGCGCGTCATGACCATCGGCGCCATCCTCACCCCGATCGGCCAGCTCGTCTTTGCCTGGACGAGTCTGCCGACCTCGATCCACTGGGCCGTGCCCATTGCCTTCGGTATCCCCTTCGGTGCCGGTAACACCATCTCCTTCATCTACGGCTCCAACTACCTCGCGGGCGCGTACGGAATCTACGCCGCGAGTGCTCTGGCAGGAAATGCCGTCATGAGATCGCTCTTCGGCGGTACGCTGCCGCTCGCGGGACCGAGCATGTACAGGGCGCTCACGCCGCAGTGGGCGGGCACGCTGTGCGGTCTGCTCGAAGTGGCGCTGATTCCCATCCCTCTCATCTTTTGGAGATACGGCGAGAGGATCCGTTCCAAGAGCCGTATCATCCGCCAGATGAGAGAGGACCAGGAGAAGAATGAAAGTAAGCGGGCCAGGGCCCAGGCTAAGTTGGAGAGGAGGAAGGAGAGGGAGGCTGTCGCTGGTGGACACGGCGAGAAGACGGGGGTTTTTGAGAGGGACGAGCCAGCTGGACCGACTGATATCGAACAGACCACTGATGTTGGTAAAGCTTGAGGGGTCGGACAGCAGTGTGAAAAACGAAGAAGAGTAAGTAAATACGTCGCATCACGATGGACGAGCATGTCTTGATGATACCAGAGCGGCATGTCAGGCGTTTTGGGTATTGCATAGAGGTTTTTTTACGGAAACCCACGATATACATAGACGGGAATCGGCAGAGTTGCACATATAGCCCACCTAAAAGTAATACCATTTCAATATTAGGAATACCCTATGGCAAACAGTCCGTTTTAAGTGTCATCGTACACATGAAGAGAACAAAACCGACGCGAAACGAGCGACGTCTAACATGCACCCTAAGTGAATTCACACGCAGCACCTTCAAGAAAGGTGTCCGGGACCAGTCAGGAACTGCACGCACCCAACATGTCTAAACCCGCCAACGCCTCCATTCTTCTTACCCTTGCCTACATCACATTAGCACCTGTCAGGGCAAGGTAATCACAGCATAAGAAAACTTACAAGAATTCCAGTTATCAGTAAGGAGGTAAGTACACCAATCGTCACCGTTCTTGCCGACCCGCTCATTATTGCCAAACGGATCGATGGAGCTCTGCGTCTTGATGTGGGGCCATACGCAAAACTCGAGCCAGCGCACCTCGAAGTGCTGCTTCGTGTACACGCCCGCCCCGTTGCCCTTGACCACGGCCCGCGGCCGCATCGTCGGGAACCGCGTCCCCAGGCTCGCGCAGAACCGCTTGGCGTCCTCGTAGAGGTCTGTCGCGTTGACGGGGTCGGCGTTCTTGTACATGTGCTTCGTGTCGAAGCAGGATTGCGGGCCGAGGATGGTTTGGTTGTATGAGCAGCGCGGGGCGAGGGAAGGGATTAGGGAGCGGATGGAGAGGGCGAGGGTTTGGGGTGTCAGGAGGAGGGTGGTGAGGAGGAGGAGGAGGAGGTGCTTGGACCTGGGGATCATTGTGACTTGTGAATGAATGAGTTGGTGACGAGTGGGGTTGTGTTTGAGAAGAATTGAAGCTTCGCCCTTGAAAGAGTGACTGCCTTAGGTTTCCGAGTTGAATGGCTGGGATGAAAGTCTGGATGATGAAACTGATAAACGCGGACCACGATGGTATATGTATAGTATGGGTATGAGAGCAAGGAGTGTTTGTGTGGACTTGCCGAGACCTTCAGGTTGTTCTGACTCGGCAAATGAATTTTGATAGACAATGGCTCACCAGTCGAGGCTGTGAGACAATGTTTACCGTCATCTCGACGGATTTCTTTGTTGGTAAATTGTACCACCCTGACCCAAGCATTTCAAAACAACATGGCGAGCAAACACTTACATAAAGTGGTCTCATCATGCCTCAAAGGGTTTAGCTGTCGTAAAACGCAATCTTCCTGGAGGATTCACAGGACTTTGATTTAGTCGAAAGGAGGGATAATGACAACTCCTTATTGCTATTTGCCTCGCACCAACTTCATACATAGATATTATCATACAGCTGCTTTGGGATTCAATGAATGGCATACACATGAAATCCAAGGGTAAGGGCACATACTTAATAAAATTTATAGCACAATTCTTGGAATATGCTGCTGTTTAGTCTAACGAACTTGAATGCCGTCCGTGGATTCAAAAACCTTGGTTTCTTGCGAAGCACTTGAACTTTGAGCTTCCAATCCGACTTTTTATCCCTCGAATAACAACAAACTTGCCTTTGTGCCCAATATATCGCATCTGCTGTTACAAAGCAAAATCTCGGTGTAAGGAATCCCGACCATTGAAAGGGATGTCTTCCACCACCCAGCAGCGACATGTGGAAGGTTGGAATTAGTGTTTCTTTCCCCTAGTTGGGATCACAAGGGTACCCATAGAGTAGGAAAGTTTTTTAAGGAGTAGAACCGTATGCTTTCTTGACTTTTGTCTTGGAAAAATTCTAGTGGAAGTGCGGACTGAAATGGTTGTGGAATGTTTATGCCGTCTGACTGTCCGTCGCATCGATAGCCGCCAACCGGAGATTTGGCGGGCACAGCGCCACTTCAACGTGCGAGAGGTAGGTCCTGCTCCCTTATCTAGAAGAAGCCGTACGATCTTTTCATGGCCCCTAGCAGAGGCGGCCTGGAGGGCGTTGCCAAAGTGACCGCCTTGCGCGTTAACGTCGGCTCCGTTATCTAGAAGAAGCCGTACGATCTCTTCGTGGCCCCCATAAGAGGCGGCCTGAAGGGCGTTATCATAGCTGCCGCCTTGCGCGTTAACGTCGGCTTCCTTATCTAGAAGAAGCCGTACGATCTCTTCGTGGCCCCCATAAGAGGCGGCCTGAAGGGCGTTATCATAGCTGCCGCCTTGCGCGTTAACGTCGGCTCCGTTATCTAGAAGAAGCTGTACGATCTCTTTGTAGCCCCCATAAGAGGCGGCCTGGAGGGCGTTGCCATAGTGGCCGCCTTGCGCGTTAACGTCGGCTCCGTTATCTAGAAGAAGCTGTACGATCTCTTCGTAGCCCCTAATAGAGGCGGCTATGAGGGCGTTGCTAAAGTGACCGCCTTGCGCGTTAACGTCGGCTCCGTTATCTAGAAGAAGCCGTACGATCTCTTCGTAGCCCCTATAAGAGGCGGCTAGGAGGGCGTTGCTATAGTAGCCGCCTTGCGCGTTAACGTCGGCTTCCTTATCTAGAAGAAGCCGTACGATCTCTTCGTGGCCCCCATAAGAGGCGGCCTGAAGGGCGTTATCATAGCTGCCGCCTTGCGCGTTAACGTCGGCTTCCTTATCTAGAAGAAGCCGTACGATCTCTTCGTGGCCCCTATAAGAGGCGGCCTGAAGGGCGTTGCCATAGTCGCCGCCTTGCGCGTTAACGTCGGCTCCCTTATCTAGAAGAAGCCGTACGATCTCTTCGTAGCCCCCATAAGAGGCGGCTAGGAGGGCGTTGCTATAGTAGCCGCCTTGCGCGTTAACGTCGGCTCTGTTATCTAGAAGAAGCCGTACGATCTCTTCATAGCCCCTATCAGAGGCGGCCTGGAGGGCGTTGCCATAGCTGCCGCCTTGCGCATTAACATCGGCTCCGTTATCTAGAAGCGTTCTTATTACTCTTGAAAGCCCACTGCAGCAAGCATAGTAGAGAGGTGGTGCTTTGGGAGGGCTAGGATGCAAATTCCGGTCGTCGTCTGGTTGATATAGGCAACCCCATTTGTAGAACGTAGTCGCGTTTTGTAGAAAGAGCCCTGTTTCTTCTACAATATCGTCAGAAGTTTCCGCTAGTCTAGCATGCTTCATTGAGACCTCTGCCGCATAACGCGCTAATGGAAATTCCTTCCTCAGTACTCGAGGTGTACCCGTGATATCGTTGATGTAAGTGAAGCAAGTCCTTGTGATAGCAATGCTGGCAGTTGTAAGTTCAAACTGACTTTCGGAGATAAGCCACTCCTTTACTGAAAAGTGTGCAAGTTGAACTTCCGTTACAATGGCGTCGTACCGGGAAACCTTAGCGAAAGATAGTAAACCTGGGCAATAACGTAAGATGTCCTCGTCGTTAAGAAGTCTCCGCTCGGGGTTAAACTCCCGCTTCTCCTGAGTAACCAATGTGGCAAGTATTTCTATTGCCTCTGGTGTTATGAGGGGTCGTTCGGCATAGGCGAGGAACTGTAGGAGGCGTATAGAGTCTCCCTTGAGCTCTGATGGAATGCATGAAAGCATTCGTTGGTATGTCTCGTTTAGGTCTCGAGGTAAACTTGCTAACGCTGATTTGATAGCCTGTATATGAAGGCAATTGACAAGACTGTCTAGCTGGCATGCTGCCCATCTAAACCTATGCTAATAATTAGGGTTTGAATGATCTCAAATAAGCTAATCTTATAGACTTACATTCCATCAGCCCCATCCCCAACCTTGGTACGGATTTGGTCAAGGACATCTTGCGGTATTTTCTTCTCTATGAAGTTAGGCCTCTGGTGAAGCTCGTTGCTGACATAAGAGCGAATGTCGGCGTCGACAGCCTTTTTATCAAGCAACATGCAGTTATTCTCACCGAAAAGCCTAGGAATCTCACGCTGAAAATCTGCTTCGGGCCGCCCAGTCACAACCAACTTGGTGTTGCCAAAAGCCGAATTGGCTGTCAAGCCTCGCATCCATAGAAGTAATTCGCTTCTCGTAGTACACTCATCTAGAGCGTCCAAAACAATAGTCAACCTTTGAGGTATCCGCATCATAGACTCAAGACAGGTCGAAAAAGCTTTGTTGTCTGGTTGTTTCCGGCCACTTTCAAAGGATACAAACAAAGCATCAAGTCTCCTTGCTGCCTCATCCCCAGTGGAGTAGAGCTGAAATGCAAGTGAGCGTAAGAGATTAGCTAAAGTCTGTTTCCCGGTATCGGTAAAGTCGAAGAAGAAAGTAAGTATCGGTCCATTGTCATTCTGGCTGAGATGGTCAATAATTGTCGTGCTCAAAACCGTTTTGCCACACCCCGCCAGGCCGTAAAGCCAAAGATGTTGGCGTGTTTCGTTCTTCCACTCAGAGAAGAGGTCGCTCTCTAAGAGCCAAGTTCCTGTGCCTGAATGTCGAAGGTCTCTCGCCCTTGCAGCGTTGGTGGAAGGATCTGGTGGCGATAACCAGCGATGTAGATCGTCGAGATGTTGTTTATTTCTAGTGGCCATTGCCGCATTCTTCGTCTCGCTTAAATCCAGATGCAAGTGGCCGAGGTCCTCTTGAACTAAGGTACATAAGTTTAGAAAATTTAAATTGCATAAGGACTACAAAACTAACTTGAGTTTAGAAGATCGCTGATTCGCCTTTCTGCTTCAACTTTGTTGGATGGGATTTGATGTAAAAGATCTGCCGCATATGCCGCCGCCATCATTGCCGCAAAGCCTTGCCACCGTTTGTTCTTGTGAGAGTCAGAGTAGTCGCAGATCCCGCGAATTACCAGACATGGAAAGTGATTCATCAGACCGGCAGCCTCCATCTCGAAGCAGAGGACGCCGTGTTCTTTAGCTAGTTTGTCGCGGATCGTAGCGTCCTTCATTAACTGATTTGCGCTGGCAATGAGTCCGTAATGAATTGCGGGGTTGTCTTCGAGTTCATCTCGTGCAGTACGACTTAGTAGATGAGTCGAATCATCGCTGCAATTGCCGTCGCATCCATTTGCCGATTCTGGATGGACGATGTCGGATCGGTAGAGTTTATCACTATCCGAGGGGGGCCGAGAGTATCTTTTCTTCAGTCGAGGCCACCGGTCCAGTGCGCTATCCACAGATCTGTTAAGTTGATGCCCTTTTATGCTGTATCGACTCCTGAGTGCGCTAACAGCTGTTCGTAAGACCATAGGTGGTTGGTCTAGGATGCTAGTAATCTCAAAGTCCCGGTTCTGGATGGTTTTTCCGAGGTCATACTGGAAAACGCCCCCTTTGTCTCCATCACGGCGGCTAACAACAATATCACCTAGTCGTATATCATGTCTTGGACTGGGGGCTCCCCCACCGATGCCAACCATCAGTCCAATGCGCACATTTGGAAAGCTATGCAGCATGCCGCGAGCCACAACCGCAGCGGCAGTTAATCCATATTCTCCATCTGGTAAAACAGCGATAACGACATTATGACTTCCAATCCTGCCCAGAGCATAATTGTTGTTGTCGTTTTCGGCGACTGGAGGGCAGTCTTCGTATTCTTCTTCCAAAAAGGCTTGCGCGGCATCAAACTCGATAGGAAGGGCGCAAATCCAGCCGACCGTAAACTTTGCGGAGTCCGACATGGCTACGGCTCGAGTTGGGGTGGATGCGCAAGGATTCGGACCAAAGAGAAAGCAACTGTGAGGCTATAGAGTAGAACTATTTGAAGCAAGCCAGGAAGACATGCGGCGGATGGCCTTTTTGTCTAGTTCATACAAGATCAGGCTGTCGTTCGTTGCACAAGGGATGACATGGCTATTTGTGGTTGCATGTCAGCTGAGCGTTCTGCAAATGTAATTGGAGGGGAAGCCTGAACAACTTCTTCCCAGTCGCAGGACATCTGCAAGAAGTGAGGACACCTGGGAAAAACGATTGGGTCTACTGTGTCCCCGCTCTCGATGCGTTTCCGTAATCCAGAGCGGACAAGCCGATGCCAAGGACTCGAGCCTGCTCGAGGTGGCACAGAAAGTGTGTTGCAGGGCGTCTTCTTTTCCCCTTGGAGCCATATTGTCGAAAATTGCGACACAAATCGAGAACAATTAGGCGGCCTAGCGGCGGCTGTGGCAGTAGTTACTGCAAGTCTGTTACTTTTGGCTGTCGCCATCTCTTACCTAGCACTGCTGGCAAAGTGAAGTCACTTCTTGACGGTCTTATTCTGCCGATCTCACAGTTGGCTACAGTCAGAAGACAGATTTCAGAAGCACTCATAACGCGCAAGTGTAAATCATGGGAAAACTAGACTTGCAGCAAGACTGGCAAAACTGCCATGGTTCCAACAATCTACTCATCACCTGCTGGGCTTGGCCACTTTTACCATCAGGTCACTTTCGCAACCGCTTTCGCGAACACAGTTGCTCCGTACTTTTGACAGCTCCTCCCGCAGAAGTCAACCTGCCGCCGCAGATGTTCTTGGTAGACACTTTTCCCGACACTCTTGCAGCAACAGACACTGACACTCTGGGCCTCTGGGCCGCAGAAGATCAGGCTCCACCAGCCAACAGAGCGGCGGGCCAAGCTTGTTGGCGCTCTCTCACAGCGCGCAAACTGGATTCCGCCTGACTGCTGCCTGTCTGCCTGTCTGACTGCCTCGCCTCAGCCACTGCAGCCTCGGCGGGCAGAGGATTGCTCAGCCGCCCTGCACGTGGCAAACGTTTATCCGAAGCCTATCGTGGGATGCGTGCATTGAGCTGCTCTCTTTGTCGTCGATCTCGTCATTGATTTTCATCCACTTTTGGCTCGGCTCACCACCGCTGTGTTAGTGCATAATTTGGCATCCACCCCATCACTCTGTTACGACGACAGTCAAAGGGCCTTTGGTTCATATGGAATGCACCGGACAGCAGTAAATTTCAATGGAACATAGCAACGGTTGGTAAACAGGACTTTTGTTTTGTTCCTTTCCTGGTGCATCACCTTGTCGCCTTGGCACAGCCCTAGTCTCTGAAGCTTTCATCTCTCAAGCTTGCTGGCTAGCTACGATCTCCAAGCGAGGGCTTTCCCAAACAACAAAATGGCAGAGCTTAGTGCTCGCCAGCAAACAACTAATTTACTCTTTTCGTCCCCTATTGAAACCTTTAAGTAGGTGCAAAAACACCGAGTTGGAATATTTGAGAGTCGCGAGCGCACAGCGGTCCGCCCTGGGCATCGGTTCACTAAACATACAAGGATGGTCCCTAACTCTGCGGCGTGTTAAGCTTTTGGTTTGAGAAATGGGATGACCCATAATAGAACGCATTCCACCAGAACCTGGATGCAATCACAACGGAAAGGTTATGGAGGCAATATAGCTATCTATAATAACGAAAGTACCAAGCATTTTTTTAGAATCTATGGGGGGGGGGGGGGGGGTTTTCTCATGGGCATAGTGTGATTCATCCTGCGGACATGGAGGTGTAAGTCGTCTGTCCTTACTTGCTACCTTATCCTGGACTCTTCGACCAATCTGATTTCTCCTAACGCTGCGTAGGAGGCTACCTCGTCAACAGCCGTGATGATGAGATAGTCCATGACCGGCCAGACCTGTGTTCCTCTTTCCCGGGCATCAATCATCCTTCAAAGCCCCGATACCAAAGTCTCGAACTACACTGCCAGACCCTGTCGGATGTGTTCTTCGATTCTGACTGCTCATTTGGACCCCTACACTCTGTGGCGCAGCTCGCTCGACCAACTCAGTGTCACTCATCAAGACTTAGCCAAGGCACGTTGCAGTGATGGCTTGGACATCAAGCAGTCTGCGGTGAGTCTACTAGGAGGTCGTTGAGCCGATAGCCAGCAGCTGTTCACGATACTCACTACCCAAATCCGGCATACACGCCTGGTCACAGTATCAGCGGCGTCAAGGTCCATAATATAGGTGCACTTCATCACAAAAGCCGCAAAATCCAAGCTGAAGATGACGTATCTGTGAAATTGGATCATAATAGCTGCGCAAGGTGAAGAGCTGGCATGAAGCAGACCAAGAACACTAATTGATTTCTCCTAGTGTGGGATTAACAAACTAGCCTGCCAATCGTGAAGTGCTGTTGCCTAGACGAGAAACTTCTCATGAACCCCGGCATGGTGCCTAATAGCCAAACATACCCGTTGCACCCAAAGCTCACATCAATCAGTGGATGCCTGTTGACGCCGCAATCTCTCCTCAAACACCCGCTTCAGCGCCGCGTGCCACTCCTGCTGGTCCTCGGCTATCACCAACTCAGGACGGTCCGCCGAGACCAGCAGCTTCTCATCGGGTCCCGGCATCTAGCTGTCGTCGTCGTCGGCATTTCTAGCCCTCAGAAAAATCAGTTCCCGCCGCATCATCAGCCACGGGTGCACCGCCGTCACAAAATCGTGCACCGTGACGAAACCCCCCGACGCCGTGACCACCAGCCGGCTCAAACGTAGGCGGTTCATCGTCAGGCGCCGGCTGCACGTCCTCGTCGAACCCTTCCTGGTTCAACGTCCACCATGTGTCCTGCCAATCGCTCAGGTGCTCCTCCCCAACGGTAAGAGAAGCGACCGGCTGCTCCGTCATGGCCTCCTGGGAGATCGGGTGCCAGGTCGTGTCGGTGAGTGTTTGTTGGAAGTAGGGCTCGCGCGGAGCCTCTGGGCTGTAGTCCTCGGGCATAATGAAGATGGACGAGGTGAGAGGGCCCTGCAGCGTCCAGTAGAGTCGCTTCGCCGGCTGGGAAATCAATGCAACGGGTGCTGGGATATGAACCTGCTCCGCTGAGAGCGGCGGTTGGAGTGGCTGTAACGACAATCCGAAGAAACTGTGCGGACTCGGGATTGCCATGTTTCGATAATGATGAAGGGATTACGAGAAGATGTTCAGTGTTTGCGAGCGGTTTGCCGGTTCAACGTTGGAGGAGTGGGAAGTGCTGCAGTTCTTATACTGGGCCGAAGTACCGTAGCGTCCAGGGGGGGGCTACCATGGACTGTGAATGCATGATTCCATTTATATCAAGTTGCTCCGCTACTGAGCTGTACTGTGTATAAGAGCCCTAGGAATGGATGCCTGTGCGATATGAATTGTGAGGATATATTTCGTTTTGCGAAGACTTCGTATGTCATAGTCCCCTGCGGATAGGTAGATGAATACGCTCAAGTCGTCCATGTCGTCGTCTTATAAATCCATGTCCCAGACACTGAGGTCCGGCTTGCCATATGTTTGGCTGATAATCAATCATTTCTCTGTCCCTAATTAATGGCATATTTCTATTATTGACCCCATAACATCCGCTGTTGGGATAGCCGGAACTCCGGAACTCCAGGTTGAAGTGGCTCCATCGCCGGCAGTCCTGCCGGCACCCGGGCTGCCCACGTGACGGGCAGACCGGCTGACGGCTATAAGACCGACAGCCACTTCCTCCAGCACTTCTGCTGGAACTTATTCCATAGACATACAGACACGAGAATACAGACCAGTTCCCCCATCAGTTATCCCACTTCAGGGGTATCCTGTGATACCAACATCCGCTGAGGCTATGTAACAACTAAACCCCATGTATTATTGTCTTTGGTATGATTTGATTTCAAAGGCTGAATGCCAGATTCCGTGCGTTTTGGACACTAGAGAATGACGGTATAATAGTGATACCCATAGTGATCCTCACAGTATTCGACCACAACAGTTACACTAGTTATGTTCCTTGTGATGCTATCCTCCACAGGTCCTTTCATTTGCAATCTACACTTTGCGTACAGAACCTTGCCAATCTTCAGAAGGCTATAGTCGTCATGTTGTGACCACAGAGATAAACGCAAAGTGGGACACCTTGAACATGATTAAACTGTTGCTTGTTCTTGTGTCTCATAAGTCTTATCCAGAATGAGTTCTGGTAGTAATACGGGCTGAAGTGGTTGTTGAAGTCACCTCGGCAGCCGGCAACCAGCATTCTCACGACTATGAAACCACTTCAACCCAGAGTTCAGGCAATATCAATGTATCACAGTGTTGTAATTTACTCAGTACTTACATTACGAGATGAGAGCTGAGTCCTCTATGATCTTAGAAACGAATGGAGAACGTGTTGCGTCATGTGATTGCGTCTTTTACTGTTCTTATCAAATATCCCTCGAGTCGCGTACCACACCATACAACTCAAACTTCGAAGTTGAGAAAATGATAATATGATGGATTAAAGTATAAGTGCATAAGTAGCTTAGGTTGGCTGTCTCTAATACAAGTAATTGAGGTATTGACTGAGATGAGTGGAATATGCAGGTTAAACCGCTTGCTATCGGCTATCCTTCAAAAAGGAGTAAACCTAAATACAAAAAGCGCCTCATGAAATACAGATCCCTAGATAGACTGACAAAGTTCCTGTGCAGCTTCATAACTACAAAGTTGTCTTTAGCCAGGTAAATCTGCCATACTAGGTGGGGTTGTTCATGCGTTACTGGAGATCGATAGACCATTCCGCCCCGTTCTCAGTAAGCACCCTCACAACTTCCAGAAACTTGTCCTTTGAGGCTTTGTCGAGTGTAGTAGCTCCATCAGAGTCCCAATCATTAAATCCAACAAGAACCTCAGCAATCGTATCAAATTTTCCCTCTAAGGCCGAATGGAGTGCAGCAGCTCCATTAGAGTCCTGGATATTAATATCCGCACCATTCTCAATGAGAAGCCTCACAATCGCCTCAAATCCTCCTTTTGAGGCCAGATGGAGTGCAGCAGCTCCATTAGAGTCCCGAGCATTAACTTCCGCCCCTTTTTCAATAAGAAGCCTAGCAATCGCCTCAAATCCTCCTTTTGAGGCCAGATGGAGTGCAGTAGCTCCGTTAGAGTCCCGAGCATTAACTACCACCCCGTTTTCAACAAGAAGCCTAGTAGTCGTCTCAAACCCTCCCTCTGAGGCTGAATGGAGTGCAGTGTGTCCTTTATAGTCTCGGGCGTTAAGTTTCGCCCCGTTCTCAATGAGAAGCCTTGCAATCGCCTCAGACTTTCTAACTGAGGCTTCATGAAGTGCAGTAGACCCGTTAGAGTTTCGAGCGTTAATTTTCGCCCCGTTCTCAATAAGAAGCCTCACAGCCGTCTCGGACCCCATCTTTGAGGCTTTATGGAGTGCAGTAGGTCCGCTAAGGCCGCCAATATCAACGTCCGCATTGTTGTTGATAAGATATTTTACAGTCGCTGCTTTGTTACATTCGAAAGCTCTTTTGAGAGCTGAGCAGCCTTCACCGTCTCTCTCGTCGATAATGGCCCCTATCTTGAGTAAAATACTCAGTAAGCCTACGCGGCCTTCTTGAACAGCCCAAGTAAGCGGCGTTCGTCTCTTGAAATCTTTAAAATCTTCTATCCGAAATAATCCCTGTGTAACATTTGTTCCTTCCACGATTGTCGAAGGCGAGTGTAAAAGAGCAGCAACAGAGGCTTTGTTACGGTGTGCCAAAGCAGTAAAAATTGGATAACAGAATCTCTCACCCTTTACCGTAATTCCAGCTGTTGGATGTTCACTTAATACTGTGTGTATCAAGTTCGGACAGTCCTTTTCAGCCAAAATGTAAATAAGGCTAGCATCGGCCGTAAAGCGACGTAGTCGATACTTTTCAAAGTAGTTGACGGTACTGATCCATTCTCGAGTATTGAATCGCGATAGAAAGCCGTCTTGGGGGATCCCTTCCGCTGCAAGCTCAGCGTGATAAAGAACAGACTGACTGGCATACTCCAAAAACGGATACTTTGAGGAGATATTGGATGGCGAACTAGCAGAATCCCTTAACAATATGGCTTTGGTACCTAAATGAACCGAGTCGTGATTCATATACACCTGGCAACATTGTTTGAGTTTCTCGTGGCTTTGGATCCTCCATTCAAATCCCAAATCGGGCCATAATTGGTGAAGGCCTCCAGATTTGAGTAGGAAATCGCTAACAGACTCGTGAATGAATTGTACCCTAGGATTCTTTGTCTTGGTAACCTCCGCCAGACCCTTGGAAGAGCCAATGACATATCTCTCAGCGCTGAGCTCCGCACCTGTTTCAGTGAGATTTGGAGGCTCGGAATCGGCCAAGTCTTGCATCAAAAGACCAGACCAAAGCGCATGACTGAACTCATCTGGTCGCAAGGGACGTCTAGCACAGAGAATCAGTAGTACACAAATTAGCAGGCTTTCCCTGTTTATGCTGTCACGCCTCAGCATATCACTGAACAGTTCGTGAAGACCACTTGGGATCTCGTCGAGTCTCCTTCTCAGAGCCATGCCACCTCTAGCATGTTCATTGTTGAGAATGTCGACGACCAATATGACCCAGAGGAACACTCCGGACGCCTTCTCTAGAAGCTTGGATCGCAACTCATTACTGACTATAGGGTCTTGAACCCGCAAGCGGCTTTCAACATATGTTGCTAAGTCTTGTGCATGATCCGGTTGGTTCTCCAAGGTAAATTCGATTCCACGCCGCACAAAAATATAGGGGTAGTGCCGACTAGAGAAGCAAACTCGAAATGAAATGTTGTTGTCTGCCGAATGCTCTGCAAGATCTTCGAAGTATTGCACCATGTCCATCACCTGTTGTTCATCGCACTCATCAAGAGCGTCAATAAAACAAGTGAAGTGATCGTGGCCGAGAGAGGAAACCGCGTCATGAAAGATGTTCTTAAGTATATCCAGGGAAGGACATTCGTCAGGGCTCTCAGTGTTGAAATCCTGATTATTTAACACTGACTGGAGCCGAGGATAACCTTTGAGCAATTGTAATGTTAAAGACCGGTACATCCCTTCGATAGACTTTTCTAGATATTCTCCACGAGCATTGAAGAAAAAAGAAGCAGTAAATCCTAAGGTCTGACGGACATTGCGCATGTTCGAATATGCGAATTTCATTAGTGTTGACTTCCCTGCCCCGGGCTTGCCACGTTTCCATAAGAAACCGTGGTGTTCCGCCAGCTTTTCGGGGTCAAGCCACACTTGATATGCAGAGTGTTTAATAAACCACCGGCATGTCTTGGAATGGGCAGCTTTTATGGCAGCTTGGCGGAAATCTTTTCGGTCGAGGTGAAGAGCCTGGAGCACTCGCTGTTGGCGACTATCGGAAGCTTGTAAGCCTGTGCATATTGTTAGCCAATATGAACCCCTAAAGACAATAATGCCTTCTTACAGGGAGCAGTCATGCAGGAAGGTCTGATACGTATGTCACTCAAAGGAAGAACCGATAGAAATTCCCTTGCGTATGCAGCCGCTGTAGCGGCAGCATATTTCTGCCACGACTTGTTCTTGTGGGCATCCGCATAGTCGCAAATGCCTCGAATCGGAAGGCAGGGGATGATATCCATCAACCCGGCAGCCTCCATCTCGAAACAAATGACGTCCAGCTCTCAGGCGATGGCATCTCGCTGTGAGGCACTTCTCATGACTTGGTTTCCTGAAGCTACTGCGCCGTAATGGATCAGGGGGCCATTCCGTTTACTTCTAGGAACCAGCTTTGAAATATCGCAGCTTTGACAGCTAGATGTTGAAGATTGATGATTGTATGTCGAAAGGAAAAGCTCGTCTAATAAGTTTGGGCGATTTTAATCGGAGTTTTGTTTGAATCTCTCTTCCAGGATGGATGTAATTGAGGTCCCCTCTCGCTCGTGTTTTGTTCGCAAGGCGGACACTGCTGTGCAGAGTAGTTGGTGTGGAATCCTTGGAATTGCTGTGCGGCGAATCTCTCCGTCTCCGATGATCTTCCCTAAATCATATTGCATCACTCTTGTCCCAACGATGACATCGCCTAGGCGTACATCGATTTTGCTCGGAACTCCACCCCCAATTCCGACCATCAAACCTGCGCGTATAAGAGGAAATGATCGTTTCAAGTTTGACAAGACGCTGGCTGCATTGATCGTTCCATAATATCCCTCTGGCAAGCATGTAATGACAACGTAGTATTGTTCAATGCTTCCCAGAATGTAGGTGTTGTTATCATCGACGTCATTGGGCAGAGTTTCGTGTTTTTCGTCCAGCATAGCTTCGGCTGCCGCCATCTCAATGTATAGCGCGCAGATCCAGGCAATAGTATATTCGCTGCGGTAAGCAAATGGCGGGTCAGGCTGCGTTTGAACCGTGCTGTCTGCAACATCGCGAGAGGTTTTCTGCCGTTTTGAAGGGTGATCCAAGCCCGTCAGATCCACTACATCGCGAAATCGTCTCAAAGACATTTCAAGTCCTCACTCATCCAATCAATGCAGAAGTGCCAACAAAGTCTATGTGAGAGCTTTTCACAAGCAAAAGATGACAGAGTTCGCATGAAAGGTTTAGTGGGGCATTGTTTTTTGTTGCAACAACCGAAGTTGCGGATTGAAATGGTTCCGTGGCCCGCAAGACTGCCTGTTGTTGGCTGCCCACGTGACGAGCAGCCAGTTGGGAGATAACTACCCATTTCTCCCAGAACTTCTTCTAAACATTGAACACAATACCAAAGGCTTTAGCCCCTTAAATACGGCATCCCATTCTACAACTACCCCATGTGACCCCTGCAGGTTTCTACTCGATGAACGCATGAACATGTGGAGTTGGAGCACAATCATAAGGTGTTCCAAAACGCTGATAACCCCCTTGTCGATTCCCATGTTCACGCTCCACCGCTGATTGGGTGCCTCAACCAACAATCACACAAAAAATAATCAAGCCGTGGAAGCCTGGTTTGCTACCTTCTTATACTTGGCACTGGATCGCACTAAGGCAGCTGTTGTTTTGGGCGGCCGATATTACCTTCAGAAATCTTTAAGTGGTGAACTCATCCAGTCATCGCCCTGTCCTGTTTCCAAACAGTCATGACAAAACTTGACATTGACTACAGAATCATTCCCGTTAACCCCATACTCTGGTAATTCCGCAAAGAGACTCTTCCTTCATCTTCAGGTCTTTGCCGCTAATGTCTCTCACACTTCAGCGAAGTATGTAGCATGATAAATCTTCTTTACTATCTTGGACGCTTCAGGATTGATTTTGGCCCAAGAATGTTAACAGCTACGCTCGGCACTTTGCCTACGGGAATTCTCAATAGAAGCCCGTAAATGATAATGCAATAAACTCATAGACACCAGGCTAGGCAGTTTACACACGTACAGTATCAGTTTAGATCTGTAACTTTTGGGATCATAGAGGTCCCCATAAAGTGTTATGTCCTTCTGAAGAGAGAAGACCAATATTGGTTCTTGTGTCTGACGAAGTAGAACTGTCAGCAGAAGCGCTGGCTGGCGTGACGTGGACAGCCGGCGACGGAGCCACTTCAACCCGGAGTTTTGGAGTTCCGGCTATTCCAACAGTTACTAATACTCCTCTAAAGGGCGAAATATACCGTTAATTACCTGTGGACAACTCATGGCAATACTGCATTATGTTCGTTGAAGCGTTGTTAGTCTAGTAGTCAGAGCAAAGTAGCTGTATAATACTGCGATGAAGGCCCTTCTTATTATACTAAACAATGCTCGTGAACCTTGCCAAAGTAACTAAGAATATCTACGGTTATCCGTACAGTCTTTCCATGAAGAGCTCCACAGGCCCTAGTATATTCGTGACCTGAGGCGATTAGTCATTCAAGGCATGGCGGCCGCACATCCTTCTTATTTACGTCTACATGGCTAGCCTTTCTTCGACTCGCTTTGGTAGTCGTAATTGTCAGCTAGTATGCGAGGTGCTTAGGCATCTCTAACCAGAACAGCTTTCAAAGCCATTTCAATTCATTGGATGTACACAAAGCCATGACTCCGTGTCAATCCCCTTGCCGTTCACGGAGAAGCTCTGTCGTCGTCGACGGAAACGAAGGCAGTGGATCTCTCTGGGGCTTTTGTGGCGCTAGATCCAAGGCAGACTGGCATTTTCCAGAACTTGATGACTGGCGTCGTGGTTATACCCTCTCCGGTTACGTTGCCGCCGCTATGTTGCCTTTTTCTCGGCATCCCGGCAGGCTGGATTTGTGGTGCAACAGCCAACATCATTGCGAAGGCCGATCTATGCATTAGTTCCCGCCGGTGGACTTTTCTTCTACGTCTGCTACGACGCTTTTTCTTCCAATCATGATTCGTCGTTTTCAAACCTGAAATGGTGGTTGGGTGGCCGCGTATGATTCATGTTGCGGGTAAGACCGGAGGTCCGAGATGTTGATGCACGTCCGACAGTCCACGTCAGCCTAGAGAAAGGCAGTAGAAAAAGATTGCGCGGTTTCGAGCAAGATATTTTGGTCGTGTAGCTGACCAGCGTCTCCGAAGTTGCTGAAGCGTCTGCTCTACGGGATGATTTCAAGGTCAATGTCGTCTTATGGGAGGAACCGAAGGCACAGTTGCGATGCACAATGCATATCATCATCATGGGACCAATCGCCGAAGCAGTGTATCCCGGCATTTGAAAAATCCAGCCTCTTAATTGTTTGGTGATACCTACTTGTCACTAAAGCTTTTGCCCCTGAACTCGCAGATCATCACATGACAATCACTTTCAGTTGGACAAAGCCTTAAAGACTTGCCCGCTTACCTCATTCCTTGGCCCGAAGGAAACACATTTGCCTACCTGAATCTGCCATGCATGCATTATCACTCGCAGAAAACCGAAATGGTTGAAAGGGTACTAATTTGAGATGGCAGGCCATCTGCCAACGTCTGAACCCCTGCATCGCGCTCTGAACAACTCGATCAACTTTGCCATTGAGTCGGGACAGATTTCGGCTGGGAGGGCTGGCTTTGGCAAGGTTTGAGGCGACTTCTGCAAGGTGCCGGGCCTTGCAGGAGGACTCCTGGACGCGAGTTTGAAAGGCGGCAGCACTCGCCGACCGCAGGGCGCCGCCAACGCCACACAGGATGACATTCGGATGTCAGATACTATCCGACAACGACATGGACTTGACACATAAGCTTGGAGGATTTTTTTTTTATGCCGATGGTCAGTGTTGTTGTAACCTGCAGCTCGTGGCTGGTTTGTTCACAGACCGGATCACCATGGCCGTGCTGCATATTGTCTTACAGACCAAGGTGCCGCATTCCCCTTATCGGGACCGAGCCCAACGTGGCGAGGGAAGATGAGCGTGATGCATCAAACAGAACTCTTGCCATCTGTGAGCTGGGATGAGAATATTTATCATGGACTTTTGCCCCTACCATCGACTGTTTCTTCATTCACTGCAACAAGTCACTCGCTGAATCAAGACTCTTACCTTCGTTTCAAACCTCGGCCACTTTCGCTCTTCACGCCCCAATATTCCACCATGTATCGCGCAACATTGCTTCTGGCCGCGTTCGCAGCCACTTCTTCTGCCTACCCCGGCTGGTCCAATGTAGACTTTCTGAGCCAACTCCACTCCCGTGCTGAGTCTGTCAGCAACGAGCCCCTCGGTGACCTCGCGAACCTTGGGGACTCGTCTCTTTCCCCTGTAGGAAAGGATATCAAGAACATCCTTACCACTACTGCCTCTGCCCTTTCGGATGATAAGTACGGCGACAATGTCCCCGCACTTGGCAGCAAGGAGTGCTCTGATGACAAGTGCTGCGTCTGGAAGCATGTCGGCGACGAGCTGGCCGCCATGTTCCGTGATGAAAACGGCTGCACCGACCCTGCTCGCGCAGCGATCCGTCTCGGCTTTCACGACGCCGCCGGCTGGAGCAAGGCCACTGGGCCCCTTGGAGGTGCCGACGGCTCCATCGTCCTCGCAGCCGAGGAGATCGAGAGACCCGCCAACAATGGACTGGAAGAGATTGTTGGCCAGATGAAGGTTTGGTTCGAGAAGTACAAGGGCAACGGGGTTGGCATGGCCGATCTGATCCAGTTCGCTGCCAACACCGGAACCGTAATGTGCCCCAAGGGTCCCAGAATCAAGACCCTTGTCGGCCGCAAGGATTCTTCTGTGGCTGCACCCGACGGACTGCTGCCCGATGTCAACGACCCGGCTGAGAAGCTCATCGGTTTGTTCGTCAACAAGACCATTTCTCCCCCCGGTCTTGCGGCCCTTGTCGGAGCCCACTCCACCTCCAAGCAACGTTTCGTGGACCAGTCCCGTGCGAACGCCCCTCAGGATTCCACTCCGGGTGTCTGGGATACCCTCTTCTACTCGCAGACCTTGAGCGGAGCACCATCTGAGGTTTTCACCTTCAACAGTGATATTGCTCTCTCCAAGGATGCCGCTACCGCGCCTGCTTTCAAGGTTTTCGCCGAAAACCAACTTGGTTGGAACGCGGTAAGTTTCACGCCTGAATCACATCGTTCAGTCAGTTTCTAATACTATCTAGGCATTTGCTCGGGAATATCTCCGTCTTAGTCTCTTGGGCGTTGATAACATCAATGAGCTCACAGACTGCACCAAGGCGCTGCCTGCGTCTAACTAGACGAAATTGGCAAACTGGTTTGGAATGTAGGTGGGATATGGAGCGGTGAGCCGACGGGGTTATACTTAATGTGGAGAGCATGTGTAACTAGTTATATTTACGGACTTAATAGTTCAAGACATAGTATTACTACTTCAGTCGCCATATGTTTTAGTGTAACTCACTTACCAGATGAATGTCATAGAACAGGCAAGGGTCATTATGCCTGTTCGCACACAGTCACTTACGTAATTTTCCAATAGTTGTAGAGAGTTCTCTAGGAGACATTAGCACAATAGTGTAGCACTAAACTCCTCCATTACAAAAAATGATTTTATCTCATCATTTCACGTCGAATCTTCAGTTAAATGTGTTGAAGGGCTATTTGCATTTGACTTTCAGAGGTACAAATCAAATTGAATGGATTATCTTAGACTGTAAGACGGTCTTTGAGTAACTGTTAACCTCCTTAACTTCCGTTCACTGCAAGCACTTCTTACTCCTGCTTGGGCCACGCCTTAACACCGGCCTGGATGGCCTTCAGAAGGCTGAAATCGTAAGAGTCCTCGCCCAAGCTCCAGGCAGCAACACCACCAATGCCGCGAGCCTTGACAATGTCGTTGAACTTGCGGGTAACGAGGGCGGGGGTGTCCCAGGTCCAGAAGAAGGGACCAGCAGGGTCCCAGTACCACTGGCCACCTCTCTCCTCATCAGTCTGGCCGTTGGCAATGGCCTTCTTGAAGGACTTGAGAGTCGAAGTACCGTTGCAGACACCGTAGTCGGACTGGCAGCCGTTACCGCAGTGAGCAGCAGTGGTGCCACTAGACTGAGGTTAGCAAAGGGACGATACATGCTTGAAAGATTGTTCAACTTACCAGAAGCCGTACTGGCTGCAGCAGCTACCGGTAGGGCACTTGTGGAAAGTGCCGGCACCGCAGGAGTCGTCGGTGGAGGTGGTCAGGTTGGTGGGAGCATCTTGGAAGTTGGCGGTCTCGAAGGTCACGGCGCCAGAGTTGCCCGTGTCAGTTCCGTCGGCAGCTTCGAGGAGAACGGTGGGGCATCCGATAGGGGACGTGCACTGCTGACCCGGAGCAGTGGTGAACCACTTGGCGTACAGAGCGAAACCGAGGTTGATCTTGGCAGGCTCGACACCAAGCGCGATGTAAGTGTCAATGGACTCGAGCGATCCCTTTACATCGGTGTGGTGAAGAGTAAGGTTGTCACGGCGGTTCATCAAATCGTAGGTCATGACCTGGTCGGACGCCATTAATGGTTATTCGGTTTTTTTGCTTGGATACTGTCACTTACAGTGAAGTGGTCAACGGCCTTGTTGATCTTGGGAACATGGTGCTTGGTGAAAGCAATCATGTCGCGCTTAAGTCCAGGGGCGGTGACGGAAAGCTCCATCTTGTGGTGCTTCAACTGAGTCTTGATGGCAGACAAGAGCAGAGGGAAGGTGTTGATCTCGGAAGTCTTGTTTCCGTTGGGCTTTTGCTTGTAGTCGGCACCGTTGCCACCAGGGTACTCCCAATCAACATCTGATGTTACAAAACAGATTAGTCTTCACGTTCGATGTAATGAGAATCACATCATAGTCTGTTACAACTCACCAACGCAGTCGTATCCAAGCTTCACGGCAGTATCCGCAACATTCTTGGCGAACTTGTTGCGGGCCTCGTTGGTAGCGGCACCGAGGCCGAATCCATCGGTATCTCCCCATCCACCGATTGCCATGCACACCTTGACGCCATCATCAAAAAGAGGTCGAATCTCCTCCAAGGCCTTGAACGGCTTGTATTCGCCAGCGGGCTCGGATGCAAAGAGAGAAGAGTTGGCGAAAGCGGTGATTACGTGGGTAATGCCAGAGGTGATCGACTTGTCGGGAATTCCCGTCGTGTGGTATCTGTGAAGTAACTGTAAGCAACTGCAATGAGTGATTCAAGTCCTTGTATGTAAATCTCATACTGATCGTAGTACATGACATATCGAGGAGCCGGAGATACGTCCTCATCGTCACAAGAAGCGGTAGCGGCGGCCACGGCGGCCAACGAGACCAGGCCAAGCGATCGAAACAGCATTATTAAGAATGTTTGTAAAGAATGTGGTGGCTCAATATATTGAGGCGGTCTGGTTATTATGAAAAGCGAGAGACTGATAGGCGTTGAGAACGCTTGATCCTAAGAGGAGCGTTCGGGATGGGAGCGGGATGTGCGCATCTTCTAATACGCCATGAGATGGGACTCGTAGCAGAGGGTATACCCTCGCGCAAGCAAATGAACGGCACCCGCTTGCGGGCCAGCTCCTTTCCTGCAATACCTGCCGCCCTTAGGCCATTTTCAAGTTTACTTCCTCTCAGCCCATCGTAATCATCGCATGTGCCAAGAGAGATTGGACGGGAAGGCAAGATGTGGATCAACGGGGGCGGACACGCGGCAGTGCGGCTCCAGGATACCCAGTTGAATGGTTGAGGCGCACACTGCATGGCTCGATGCCTCTGCCTCATAGAATTTGAACCACCGCTACTTAATGTGGGGGGCAATATACCAGAAAGTATAAAATGGTGATTGCCTTACAATCGGAAATTACTGTTGGTCAAGTTCCCGCTTTGCGAGATTCAAACGCTGGGATACGCCTGTCCGACATGTCAGCGACTGAGTCGTGCGTCATAGAGTTGGAGCCATTGCGCACCAAAGCATGGAGGCATGAGTTCGAACGAAAAGCTTAGCTGAAAGCTCGAGCCGGAGCTTCCGTCTCGTATAAATAGGGGGACTGATTGGTTTATCATTTAAAAGTCAGATGAGGCGCGCGTCAACTTTCAGCTATTTTTGGATGGCAGATTTGACGGCTGGTTTCTTGCGGTCTGCCATAAACATCCTCTGAGACTAATTCAAGAATCTCGATTGTTCTACAAGGTTGCGAGGGGCTTGTGCAAGCACCATGGAACTTTTGCCAAACTTTCTTGATTTTTTACGTTTGTATTTAAACAAGTGCGAATTAGCCACATCTTTGTGAACCTGTGTGATGTATGTTCTTATAACGCGGCTGGGTTTGAACAACGTCATAACTCCAGTTGAGTGGGTGACTGAATGTCCAAAGCCAGAAACAAAGATTTCTTTTCTTCCCCGTCTGTCCTTTTGGGCCGAGGAACTACCCTCCAAGCCAGACAAACAAAGAGGAACAGGAAGATTAATTAACTGAAAGTCAAGGGTGTACCTGACAAGATTAAGTGTTACGAGAATGAGACCAAGAATAATCGAAGAAAAGCGTTCTGCTAATAGTAACATGTTTCGAGGCGATCTCCTTAATCAATTCCAATATTGAACTAAGCTTAGCCATAGGTTATTCCAGATTGGACAAAGTCTTGCTCGCTCTCGGTCAATGTGCTTATGTTATTAATTTGGCTGGGGCCCAACATTGCAGGGTAGTGCAACCCAACTAACCAGTGTCAACCACTGACGTAGGGATGCCACTGTCATCACATGGAGGAAGAGCAGTTTCTCCTGAACTAGGAAATACAGTCATCACCTTTTTTTTTTCATTTGAGTCTGTTAGATAAAACATTTGGCTTCGCTCAAGCGCCCTCCCCACACGCGTCTTTATTTAGACTTCAACACGCTCCGAAAAGACACGGGATTCACACGCACCTACTGACAGATAATGTCACACTGGTGACGTTCAACTTATTAGTACTATCTACAAAATCTTATTGAACAGGAAGCTACTTTGCCGAGGTTTAGCCTCTATGGAAGTGGCAGAAACTCCTATCACAAACACAGCACAACGGGGCAGACCATCGGCAGAAGATTGAATCAGTAAGCCAACAAGCTGTACCATCATTATATGATTTCCCGTTATATTGGCAACCAAAGTCGCACCAAGTCTTGATTTATTCACTTTAACCGTCTTTACAATGGCTTTCACTGTTCAAGTTACGAAAGCTTTCGGTACCGTGGTTTTCCTCACTGTCGTACTTGCGCCTAGACGATGTCCAGTGACCATTTGGCACAACCGGTTAGTTGTACGAGGTTTACCATTTCGTTTTCAAGCTTGAGGAGAAAGTCCCATCTAGGATTGCACACATACAACCATATGCACATAATATACATGTTGGTTGTATGTTGAATCTATGAATCGCGACTAGCATATCCCTGTAATAGAGCGTGCTGATCTGTTAACGTTTTATTTAACAACGCAGCGGTTACAGAAATCCAATTTGACGAAGTTCCTTGACGAATGTGGCTGATGGTAGGAAATAACTACCTGCTTTTACAAGCTGAAATGGTTTTCAGATACAGTTGTAGCCAGTTTCCATACCTGATTGACAGTGATTTCTTAACCCAAGATCGGCCGTCCACTGCTCATGACAAAAGTAAATAGGCTTAGAGCAGTAGAACTCTAATAGCCTGGCTAAATTGTTATGAAATATGGGATAAGGGTCCAACTGCAGCCGATGTGCATTAAACAAAGAATCGCCCTTGTCGGGCAACCCGCTTGGTCGGCGTGATGACACGTGCAGTTCCAGCAGCTGAATGAAAGTCCAGATATCAATTAGATGGGCAAAGTAAAAGAACCATGGAGCATTGGGCGTCTGTCCAACTTGTTGTCTTTGCGGACGTGGAAGTGCCGTCGAGCGCCTTGAAAAACCATTTTCAGCTGCATTTCGTGACACTTTCATCAACTATTGCCTGCGTAAACAATCACCCATACCTACCTTATAGAAAGACTAAGGGCTGAATACTCACTTCCTTGAACAAAAAGACATCATCAAGTAAATTAGTAAGCGGGAACAAGGACGTATGGCTTTCTGGGCTGCATGTGTGGATCATGGAAAACCTGTTATTACCCCAGCAGCTTCCACAAGACGGCCAGAGCCCTTCAAGCAGGGATCCTGTCCACAATTCCAGTCTTTATTTACAAGATAGTAATTAGCACTAAAAAGAATAGCTGCGCGAGATTTGTGGTAGCTGCTGACAGTCAAAAGGATAAACAAACATTTGTAGTCAACCAATCTCGGCCATCCTGTATTAGGATGAGACTATGGCTATCCGTAGTTGAAGTCGCCGCGCTCGCCGTTTGCCTCGTTCGCGTTGGGTAGGTTAATCCCCCGCATTGCACGATTACACAGTATACTATATTATCCGTAAGATTTTCGTTGATCCATAAGGCAGCTTTTTTCCAGACGTCGCCGAGAGCGGAAGACCCTAGTCAGGACCCTTGACACATGTCGGACAACGGTCCAGACTAGGTAAAGCCACTGAACGAAGTGCCGGACCCATACCTGATGCACCGTGACGATTTGCGCGCGGTACACGCAACACCCCCCCCCCCCCCAGAAGGTTATGCTAAGCTTCCCCCCCTCAAAAGGACTCCAGTTTTGTCACACTGGTCGATAATTTCACGCACAAATTTTATTTGTGCCATTATTTGAGCCTCGGCTTTGAGTACGAAGTTTGAGACGGCGGTTTACAATTGTGCGCGAGTGCCAAGCACGCATGACTATGATGTGCCCTTAATTTCGACCTTCAACTTCATGCCGTCGACAGGCTTGGAGGTGACTAAATCGGTCTGCCGTAACAGTTAGCATGGAAACCCTAGAGCATCAAGCCTAAGTACTTACGGAGAAGAGTGTGGATTTCGTCTTGTAGTATCCCTTCTCATCAAGCTGGGGCTGTCCCTTTTCATCCAGGTCCAGCTCGCCCAGGCCCACCTTGACAAATTCAAAGCGCCTTGCGAGGCAAGCCAAGACAACTTTTGATTCCAAGTTTGCGAGTTCTGAGCCGGTGCAACGCCTTGGGCCTCTCTCATATGGTCTAAACGCACTCTCCGGGATATTGGCCGCCTCAGGACCGAGCCATCGCTCGGGTCTAAACTCGTCTCTAGTCTCACCGAAGATCTTGGGGTCGCGCTGAATGATATAGGCTCGTGGACTTAGACAAAGGCCATCGACTACAAGGGGCTGGCCATTGGGAAGAGTCAAGGTGTAGTTAGCTCCCTTAGGCGTCACGCGGGCGGTGGTGCCGGGCGGGTGCAGGCGCAAGGCCTCTTTGATGATTGCATCGGTGTCTGAAGTACATCATCTTATTAGCCCAGATTTCATCCCGAAATCAACAATCAAACTTACAAGGCAAGCGTGCTAACAGCTTTCCGGCTTCGTGGCCAGAGAGTTGATCAATCACGGATTTCGGGTTGGGGTCTGAGCCGAAAACTTCGTCAAGTTCTTCCTTCAGAGCCAGAGCTGAAGCGGGACGTCTATGGAGCTCATAGAAACACCACTGCAGCAGAATACTTGTTGTGTCGTGGCCGGCAAACAGGAAACCTCGGCAAGTATCACTGGTCTGTTGAAGAATCTCAGGCGTCAGTTGGTCGATGCCATGTAAACTCAAGGCCGCCACACTTCGAGAGGCCGTGACATCACCGGCTTTGAATGCCTTGTGCTGCCTGACTATCTCCTCCTTGAGAATCGTGTCGAGTTCCTTATCGAGACGTCTGATGGTTCGTTCGTTTTCGGTGAAGTATGTTCGAAGCCAGTGCTTTCCCTCTTGACGCTTAATGTAGGCATGTGACAATGCCCGATACGTTGTAAGCACCTTGCTCTGCTTGCCCGGAACTTGAGCATTAAGATCCATGTCAAAGGTCACAATGCCTGTGAAACGTCGAACGTACAAGGTAAGCGTGTGACGCAAATTCTATGTCAAATCTTGGCCAGAACTTACCAATAACATCGAAAGCCAGATTTGTAGTGTATTCGTCAATGTTGAATTCCTCACCGGAGGCAGCCTTTTGCTCCATCAGCTCAATGAAGAGCTCTGTCTTATCCAGAACAACCTTCACGAGACTAAGTAGGTGCTGCGGTTGCATGCCGGGGAGAATTCTCTTTCGCAATCCCTTCCATTCATCACCCTATCATACGTCTTACGATTAGCTATGCTGCCTCAGGAGAAAAGATAGATGGAGTCATTTACGTCGGTGGTAACAAGAGATCTGGCGCCAACCAAGGGAGCTAGATCCTGCATGGCAGGGTGCTTGGGGACACTGGTGCTAAACTGCTTCGTGGGCCTGGTCACTTGTTCAGCAACGTCATTGTTCAGAATGAACAAGATCATGAACTGCTGCATTGGTCGCCAGTCAACCAGGAGGACGGGCGGGAAGCCAAGCTTCTCCGCTTGTTCGTAAAGAAGTTCATCTGAGCAAGGTAGGTACGTTAGCCTTCTCCAAACACGGCGGTCGCTCATCTTGTGTTTTACAACTTACCAAAAGATCTACGGGGGTCACCTAAGGCGGCAGCCTTTTCAATCCATGGCCAATGTCCTCTCTTAGGGTCAGCCTCTTCGGGTTGCGGGAAATGCGAGAACAACTTGATGTCGAGGCCATCTGATTTCGACCTCTTCCATGTGAGGTAGAGGACTACAGCAAGCGGAAGCACTGCCAAGATCAAAAGCTTCCACTGAAAAAGCACACTCGTGTCGAGCTTGCTGAAAATGCTGAGCAGAGCCATCTTGCGACTGAGGGGAGCTGAAGAACACGCAAAAGTCGTGCGTCATTTTTGAAGAAGGCCAGCTGGTATATATTGGCCATATATTGGCCAGGCTGCCCCAATAACCCCTTGTGAACTCTCTTTGCTTCCACATTTTGCTTCCACATTATGCTTCTCGCAATGGACTGCGATGATCATATCCCGTCGGTCGGGAGATGCCCGCTCAGCTTTGGGTTCCAATTGGCGGAACGTCGAAACTTCTTACATTCAGTACTACATTATAGCAGGGTAGGGGGTAGTAGATGAATCGGTAAGGGGACAAATCCTCCCGCTTTCCGGCTGCCAGCGGGCCATTCAAAGCAATGCCAAGTCGCACTGTGGGTAAGTAATCTTTCTCGTGATGGAGGTCGTCGAATCAGGCGGGTTTTATCTAATCTGATGCATCTTATCTGATCCGATGTCACCTCCGATACTTCATACAAAAGCGGGACACAATAGACAATGTAACCAACCCCACCAGTGTAACCCCACGCAGACCAGCCTCCAAATCACTGTAGCAATTCATTACTGTGTTTGGCCAAGCCTCCGTTTTGCGACTGCACGTTCATGTGCTAGGTAGGGATAGAAAAAGTTTGTTGTCTTCAAATCCACTTTTGAGCTTCCCGAGTGTTTTGGTTGGCTCCCATTCTCTGCAGCTAGCAGTGACTACCGCAAGCAACAACTTGTATGCCGGCCCTGCTTATTTCAGTGCTGAGCTAACATCCGTGAGATTAGTATATAGTGCAGTTGAACCTGGCTTCACTGTCAAAATTCATCATATGAAACCCATCCCAAGTTATAGAAACTGAAGCCTACGGAAATGGCAGGAAATGGCTGGTAAAGCGGTATCCGTAATTGAAAGTTCTTCACTGGTAGACTTTGTGCGAAGACCACAATTGTAAGGTATTTATGGAGAAACTTGATAGGGTAGATTTCGCCTAGTTAGCAAGTGCCTTCTGAAGTTCAAAACAAGTACTATGTAGTATACTTGGGAGAAAGCCCCCGAAAGAAAAAAAAACGGCAGAAAGGATAACGGGCGCTATCAACTTCTCGACAATTGAGGGAGCATCAGCCATGTAAATACCCATAATTCAAGCATGTGTGGCTGCAAAATAGCCCGAATCAATTTGCTACGTTAAGTGAAATTCCGGCAGTTGTTATACGTCCCAGTCCTGTTCTGGAGGAGTTTCTTACTCAGTATAGGTTGCGCTTTGGATATGTTGGCGTCTTCTTATCATTATGGAAGCTCGCACGGAGGGTGCTGGGGCCCCTATATAAGCGGAACCAGTGACGATGTTGCCAAAGAGAAATGTTTGGGAAAACTTTGCGACTGTTTTGAAGTAAGTCCACCCATGCATAATATATTCCAGGACATTAAACCCTTAGCTGTTCGCTCAGAGTACACAAAGCTCTAAAAATCTAGACATGTATACTTCCGCTGACATTAACGAAGTGACTAAACCTCTTTTTCTTGTCATTCATGCATTTACATGTGTTAGTATACCCGGCTAATGACACAGCTATGTGTTTTTGAAAGTGAAGCTACATGTATGTCTATGGTGTATTTCGCTTGAAATGTCATAGATTGCGCGTTACAGAGTGGAAAGGCCAAGTGCATTTCCCAAGGTAACTGCAGTCATCTCTGGTTAGCTGATAACTAGTCTTCCGTGAGCTCTCAAGGCTCCTTGGATTTATAGTTCTCGTCACATTCTTTTCATTCCCTGCCTCCCCAGCACATGAGTCACATAACATCGGCATACGACAGAAGGCTGGAAAATTGATGATAACCCCGCAAGATGCCGTAGCGGAGCTCAAATCACAATCCTGGAAACCTTTTAATGACTTTTACGCTGGACAAAGAAGTACTAAGTTGTGGTGATGGCCTAATAAACAAAATCACCCTGGCGGTGTCCACCAAAACATGGAGCCAAATTAGAGAAACTGTCAACCTTAAAACAACGATAACGGTGGTTGAGATACTCTTACCACGTCACTATTCCGGAAAAGCATCTCATACTTGACAATCGTGATATAGCTTACATACATATTTAAACTCTTTAGATTTATATTTTGCTTATTAGTGGCTAGTGAATTCAGTAGACTCCTTTCGTCCAAATCCCAAATTTGCCATATCATTTTATGTCAGAACGTTGGAGGACTTGTAATTATGGAACTCGTTAGTTCCCAAAGAGGGAGTGAAACCCACCCAATGAGAGGGCAGCCTTTCGACCAATTAGAGTCTGAGGAGTAGGGGCACCAAGGCACGAGTTTCTCGGACGGGGTAAGAGAAGCCTTTCCTAACGGAATCCATGGATTACCTTCATAAAGAAGGAAAAGGCAAACCATTACGGAGTGTATCATCCCTAATGCTCCCCTCCGCTCCTAACCTACAAAAGACAGCCGCTGCCTGCTCGACCTGATCTGACCACTATTGGCATCCCCCTCGACATCACACTTATCCTCTCGCCCATTTCGCAATATTACCTACCCCCTTCTGTGAAACCCTTCTCTGTTCTCAGGTCTAGCGATTCTCGTGGCTGCATTGGATTCTGTGTCCCCGTTTCTCCACCTCGCGCGCAGGATTAGCTTGCCACACCAAAACGCCATGCCAGCCCCAACCCCAAGCTCCGAGGCCCTCAGCCTCTTGTGGAGGCTTCAGGGCCCATTGGAGGAGAGTATCTTTGTCGTGCAGAATTGGGACACTCGTAATCCGCCACGCGAACCCTACGCCACCAGGGATTCCGCGGGCAACCTCACCTGGCACGCTATCTCGCAGGCATCGCTCGCTGAACCTAAGATCAAGTCCATAAGCATACATGTCGATGTTTTGGAACGCTGGCAGCGGGAATGGATCGAGTGGCACGAGCGGCACGCTAGTCCCGAAGACGATCACTGTATCTTTGGCGAGCTGCCTGACGACGAGCTCTACAAGTCAGAGGGCGACGACGAAGAAGATGAAGACGACGATGACGATAGCGAGGGAGAGCTCCTACGCTGCTGCGACACTGAACGGCCAAAACGAGCACTGCCCCTTGGCATCAAGGCGTCTAATATGCGATACATCACGATCCACGACTACATCTCGACGCTGCACCCGTGGCTGATGGGCTTACGAGAGGACATCGCAAAGGCCGATAATTTATTAGGTGATAGGAAACCTGAGGAGTATGAAAATCTAGTGGTGGATATTAGCAACCCTCACTGTCTGACGGTTATGGATGACAAACGGTTTCTCGGGACTAGGTATACAGGTGCTCCAGTTCCCATAGACACGAGCCAAGAGTACATGGACTGGTTCAACAAGGTGTTGGTCCGTGACAGACCTAATTGGGGTACCCCGATTTCAAGACCATAAAGAGCCGTACGTATGCAGATGGCCTTCTGTACAAACCTACGACATATATAGCGTATAGAAGTAGTTATACAGAAATGGGAGAAAGAGACCACCCGCATTCTGTTGACACATAACGCTCACGTTTTGGGGAGCACTCGTAAAGCGACGCCTCAGCAATATTTACAAGCCCCCGGTGGGCAGTACCCGTGGCTGCATGTAAACTCGTAGAGGTCGACGTAGTAGCCGTGGTCCTCGCCCCCGGCGACGTTGTCATCCGGGCAGCCGTGTTGGCCGGTCAGCTCTGGAACAGCTGCGGGCTCGGCAGCGGGCCCTGAGCACACGCACACGCCAGCGGGACAGTGATTGAAAACACAACTGTACGAACAGAGGCCCTTCAAGTTGTCTGAGATGCCTTGGGCGTTCGAGCCGGCTGTGCAGGCCGGTAAAATAGGTGCCGTGGAGGACAAGGGACCAGCCGTTAAGACGGATGCGGCTGTGGCCGAGGCGGACGGGTGAGAAGTGGCTGTGCTCGACACTGTAAACGGCTCGGTTGCTAGCGGGAAGGAAATTGGCAGACAGACTTTCAGCTTGTCTAGTTCACTAGTATAATCACATTTGTCCATTTTGTTTTCAACTTGATGGAAACACCACGTGATTTAATACCGAACTATTTGTTAGAATATGGCCACAGACTTCCAGTGGCTTACCAATCATAAGTTCAATTAGGATCGAACGGAAGTTCGGCACAGGTTGTAGAAACGTCGAATTCTGGGTATTTCAAGCCGCCAATCGAATGCTCGGGATTAAGTTTTGGCTTCAGTTTGAGAGAGTCTAGAATTCAAGCAGAATGCGTTGGAGACTTCGAGAAGACAAACTGTGTTCTGGACTGCAGAGAAGCACGTGGCCTTCGATCTAGAGGACAAAGTTTTTCCACGCAGCCTTTTCATAGAACGTGATGCGCACGTGGTTCTTCATCAGTACAAAGAAGCTCAGACGCTGACTATTGGAGCTTTGTCACCCCTAGATGGCAGACTGTAATTTTGCGCCAACATACTGGAACACATGTCTTGTTGCTGGATTCCCAACACGACTGTTGAAAGAAATTTGAGACCGTCTGTGTCAACTTGTGTAATATAAGGTATCTGTCAAGATTCTTAATCTTTCGTGGGTATTTTCGATCACCATTAGCTTCTCCAGCCACGTGTATACATGCCCGCGCGAGGTATGTCTCGCAGCCCTAGACATGCCAAGTGAGTTTTGCTCGAAGCTGGCCAGCGGCAATGTTGGCCGCTTATTGAATCGCGAGTCGAGATCGAACATGGCTATTAGCTAAATGAATCACATTACCCGTAGAGATCTGGCAGTCTCTATTTAGTAGTGAAACGGTACGTAGTCAGGCGATTAGGTTAAACCTACACCAAGACCATCGCATAAATGAGAGTCATGGGACTCAGACTGTCATGCTGCGAGCGTGGCGTACCTTGATTAGAGAGACTACCTTTCTTTCAGCATCGGAGAAATACTCAATCAGTAATTCTCAACCGATTTAAATGGAAAAGTCATGGATGCTGAACAAGATATGCTGACTCAATGGTTTTTCACTGCACCTGAAGCAGAAAGATATTTTAGTTAACAAGAATGGTATTTTTGAGCAATTGATCTTTTTCCGAGCATGGGAATGAATATTTGTTGCCATAATGTTCCATCTGGGGAGGTGTGGAGGAAGATTCGTGGGAAGAAGCTGAGTTAACTTTGATGCTATCGTTAGGTAGCTTCTTTAAAAAAGAACTGTCGCACCCCTTTCTGCTTCATGAATCAGGGCGGGCTATTACCTAAGGAAGAGAACTTGATTCAGTAGTTAACATGACACTGCTTTTGTGAAAGTCAACCACACTTCTCGGTTCTCTGTTTGATTGGATGGCGTAAACGTTCGGAAATTGATTAGAAGCCTACATTTAGAATTTTCACGACTTATTTTCCCTCCAATTCCGGAGTCCGAGAAAAAGTCCTGAGAATTGTAGCGAGTCCTACTTTGCAAGCGTCGAATTATACTTTCGGAATTCTCCACCACATATGGAGATGCGCAGATTCTGTCCAACAAGTGCTCGAGTCAGCTGTGCGATGGACAACTCCGCTGAAATAATACCAGAGTTAAAGATCCTGAATACAATCAATAAATTAGAAGTTTGAGCTTGCATTTACGAAGACCTCGTTGTCACTTTCAGAGTTGTGGATTGCAAGTATCAAGGACGTCGCCTGCGCACTGCTGACGGGAGATCCAACTCAACGGCATTACCGGCAACACTGTCTACGAAATGACTCAGTAATGTTGCTCTTCGAGAATTGAACAATTCGATGTTGGTGTTGCTACGGAAGAGTTGGTCCAGCTCACTCCTCGACCTTCAGAGATCTCACCTCGTAGAACCATTATAAATTGTGTGTCGGACCAGTTACCCCTTTTGGGATCGTAGTAACTCGGTGCTGCATTGCCATTTGAAAAACGAAGCAGAGATTTGATGACCAAGCCAATGCCTGGCTGACCAAACCCATGAAACTAGGCCCAAAACACAAAGAATGCGATCCCAATTGTCCGGGGTTTCCTGTAACAATGCGAACGGATCTTGTATCCCCGTAGAATATCCCCGTCGATAGTCTGTGGGAGACGGCAAGCTCGGGCACCCGTGGTGGCTCTCTGTGGAGCCAGATGTTCTCGGGTTTATGCGATGTCTCGACCCGCACTGGACGCTACCAAATGAACTCAGCAAAAGACACAATGTGTCTTCAGTTGTCTGGTCGGAGCCCACTCCGGTCGATTTCGACGTCACAAGAATTACCAAGTCTCATGTATGTTGATTGCGCACAAATTGTTCGTCCAAAGGCTGAATATGGGATATTTTTAACTTCATCTTGGCTCGGATTTTGACGTTGGTTAACCGCTAACTGTCTTTGAATATAATCACCTCAAAATAGCTGAGATCTTCATTTCCTACCGGATAGTATATTGCTTTTTGGAGATGACGAATCAAGTCCTGTACGGAAGGTTCTCCGAAACTTCGAACTCATGGGTCTTCCTAGATCCGCCTCCGTAGTGTGAGATTCGTCTCATGTTGACTGCGATCTGGTTCGGTTCCAGTTGCTCTTGATCGCTCATGTTCTTCACACCCATGCCGGGATCAACCAATAGAATGCATCTCAAAACTCTTAGCATAAACGAACGAATACTAGGAACCACGAAATGATATGCCAGTCCAAAAACTCATGGTCGCTGCCTGTTGTTCTTCTTGGGAAGGGAACAATTGTGCGGATCCATGTGAAAAGCATATTCTTAAGGAGCACCTTTTTCCAATGCCCAGGTTTTGGTTTCACGATTGGCTGGTGAACAGCGACACCTTGGTAACGCAACCGATGGGTGGCTGTGAATTACTCGACGACTTATTGCGCGAGTAGTGCCCGCTATATCCGGCACATATTGCGCCTCACTCTTTCTTCCTGTTCGGGAATACATCAAACTGTGGGTTGACACGATATTGTGAAGGTCATTGCCTTGCAGTCTTGTTCTAAAGTTCTTGCTCGATCCATCCTCCATCGTGTCAAGAGTCCAAAAGTGGCGGGCTGGTCATGTCCTAATGTAAAAATGTGTGATTGAAGCTAGTAAAAGCGAAGTTCGGCGCAATTTGAAACCGAAATCTGATCTGTAGCCCATAACCGTCATCTTATTACTTGTTCAAATAAAACTTTATGATTGGCTGGTCTTCATTAACACTAAAGTGGCCGGCTCTTTAAGGTTTACCAGCATAGCCCCAGGAGTGAAGGCACCGCAATAGAACTCAATAGTTCAACAGATTGCAGGGCCAATCAATTCTCTAGGTGAAACGGATGCTGGAAACAACTTCAATCCTACGTGTTCTAGTAGCTGAATGAGTGATTAACTACTAGAGAATAGGTTTAGGATATCATATGCAGGTTACCAATCGTTAATATGTGTTGGGAGCATAATGAACATGGTCTGTAGGGGGTGCTAGATTCCGTGCGTCAATCTTCGAACGGAATAGACGGGTATTCTAAAGTAGTATTTGTAATAGCCTTGATGGTCCAGCGCTCTCCATCAGCGGCTACAATTCTAAATAAGGAAAGCTCGTCATCGAGATTCATGGAATAGATCGCGGTAATTCGGCTCTCACGAATCATAACCTTGTAACCTGCGCGCACTTGGCAACCCCCACGAAAAATGACTCAGGGTTTGCCTGGGGAAAGATGCCGAATAGTACTAGCAGCGGCAAGTTCTATGCAGAGACCCAGACCTGGATGTACTCGAACATCGCACCCCCGTTAACGTCGATTTGGAAAATGACTCAATTTCCCGTTGTGCTCTTCGCGCCCGCCAATATCGTTAAACCGGTCTCTTGGTATTCATGGCGAAACTCGGCGACTTTTTTCCGACTGGCCCCGTGTCACATCGCTTCTCATAGTTCGTATAAAATGGAGCACAATCTTGTGGCTACGATTAGGTATAAAAGTTTAATTACAACAGGGGCCGCCTCTTTGGTGCCGACTTAATTGACCACAGCCTTCGCCGCTACGCCCGTGGACCCAGAGTATCAGGGTCTCTCAACGTTGCAAATCAAGGGTACCTATTTGTTACATAATACCTGCTAGGAGTATCAACCCATGTCACTTTGAAGACTCGGCAACCGAAGCTACGACCACTCGTTGTCCCTGAGCATTAAGTCGTTGATCAGTCTCCTGAATCGCCAGTACGGCTTCATTGGACTTCTTTTCAGATCGTTTTTCTTTATCATAGCTAGAACCCCAGTTAGATGTGTTTGAGAGAACTCAGTGCCTCTGACACATGGTTATGTGCTTTGCCTGGATCGCTCCGACCCTGAGGCAGTCTCTAATGCCAAAGAGCTGTGTCCATGCAAATGCAACAGGATATGATGCAATTGATGCTCTCTTAACTTGACTCGTCCCCCGTTACAATGCAGTGGGTCTTTGTAAACTTCCTCAACACCGTTCCGTTCTCGTATGCCTACCGCGCGTTGAGGTCCTGTCCCTGACCCAACGAAACATTGTCTCTGCCAAGCATGTCCAACATCGGCCTTTCTTCCTTAAAGAACATCTTCAGTCTGCCTTTACAGGCCTAAAATCATGCTAAGACATAAAACACCGCCTCTTGGAACAGCATATCATCAGTAATTTAACTTTGAGCATAACATATTGAACAATACCTCGTCAGTCCTGAGGAAACTCAAAGCCAAGTCCGAAGACCCTGAGACAATGGCACTGAATCAATATCATGTGAACCGTAACTCAAAGCCACTCGGCGTCCATAACGGTGATTGCCAAAATATGTCTTAGCCGGGTATAAAGAGCTAGATGGCCGTGGGTGGAACGACTCGAGCCAGATCACAGCACTACAAATCAACAATTTCTTGAATCTCTACCCTTTTCCAAAAGAGTGCGCAAGGACATTCTTACGGTCCCAGACACCAAAGATGTCGTCTATCTCAAAGTCCATTAGCATGCTGGCCCGCCATGGGGGCCGGAAGCGAGCTGCCATTACTCAGTCTCGGACCTTGGCAACTGTCTCGGACCACAATCTTGCCCAGATGGCAGCCACAATGCCCCCAGGTTACAAGGCGAAGGTTGCTCAGCTGGAGACATTCACACTGCCAGACCGTGTCACCGGTAGCAAAGGTGACATCGCAATGGGAAAGGCGCTCGTCGACGCCTGGCGCCGTGACGGTATCCTTCAGGTTTCCATGAACGACAAGCAGCAAGCCATTTTCAACGAGGCTACTGCCTCCAGCAAGGCATTCTTCGCAAAGCCTCCCGCAGAAAAGGCGGCTTGTGTTGATTCCCAAAGCTATTCCGGTTACATCGCTTCCGGTGAAGAGATCACCGATGGCATTGCCGATTACTCTGAGATTTTCACAGTTACCAAAGACCTGGACCTTTCTGAGCCACGTGTCCGTGCAAAGTGGCCCTGTCATGGCCCGGCACCCTGGCCCGACTATGAAATGAAGCAACCCATGACTACTTACATGGATTACCTCGGCGAGAGTGGAGAGAAGTTGCTCCAACTTGCTGAACTCGGACTTCAGGTCCCTGCTGGATCTCTCACGAACCTCACCGCAGACGGCTGGCATCACATGCGTATTCTGAGGTGAGTGACTTAACCTTTTTCTCCCTAAGGAATACTTTGCTGACGAGTCACTAGATTTCCTCCCACCCATAACACCAACGGCAAGGGTAAGGAAGGCCGTGGTATTGGTTCCCACACAGACTACGGTCTTCTTGTAATCGCCGCTCAAGACGATGTTGGTGGTATGTTTATAAATCATAAACGGGATCTCAACCTCAATCTAATGTGTTCAACAGGTCTCTTCATCCGCCCTCCCTATGATGGCGAACATTATGCCAACTGGGAGAAGAGCGCAGCTGGCATGAAAGAGGATGACGAGGGCTGGCATTACGTCCCTCCTGTTCCCAACGTCTTCACCGTATTCCCAGGTGATATCATGCAGTACATCACCAATTCCTATCTGCCCTCCACACCCCACAAGGTTGGGCTGAACACACGCGATCGCTTCGCCTTCGCCTACTTCCATGAGCCCAGCTTCCAGGCTGTTGCCAAGCCCCTTCCCGGCTACGATGTGGGACAATCCCCAAAGGAGGGAATCCACTACGGCACCCACTTTACCAACATGTTTCTGAGAAACTACCCCGACAGAATTACCACCAAGAGAATGATGGCCGAGAACCGTCTTTCTAAGCTAGAACAGAAGGAGCTTCGCACCCTGCCGCCCAAAGGTCAGAGCACGGTTAACTATTCCCCTAGCGTTGGGTACCAGCCCCAGCAGCAGGCTTCTTTGTAAACATTTGAATTTTTCCAGCGAAAATTGGCTTGAAACAGGTTGGGAAAAAGCGCGTCGATAGCAGACAAAGATGGAAATACCAGATTGGATCATGAACTCACACAGGATTTTTTTTACACATAAATAACAAAAGCTACACATTAAGTCAGTTGACATGCGCAAGTGAGAATTGCAACTCCCATCATGACTCCGATCATACACATGCAAGGAGTGTGACTGTAGGGGTTGTTTAAAGAACATAGTTTGAGGTTCGAAGCTTGTGATCACATTGATTGGTCGGTACAATTAAGCGGGGTCCTTCCACTTGAAACTGGGAACTCTAGGATGGCCTAAATCTCCCCAGACTGTGTGAATATTTTGGAGTTGCGACTGAACTGGATTACCTTTCTCCACACTCAACAAATAGGCCCACGCAACCACACCAAATCTCTCCCTGGCTCTTCCTTGACAACCCACACCACTGAACAAAACAATGGCGACAGCAGCCATCCGATTTGTCGCAGGTACTAAGAAGGCTCCCCTCGGCACATTGTACCTACAGTGCCATGTTAAGCCGGGAGCCTCCCGTGTTCGGGAGGGTGTTACGGCTGTGACTGACGGGACTGTCGAGCTGTGTGTCACTGCGCAGGCACGTGAAGGGGAGGCGAACAAAGCTGTTGTGAAGCTCCTGAGCGAGGTGACACAACTTAATTTATCATTGCATTTGTATCTTCGCTAACGTAGGTTAATCTAGGTTTTGGGCCTTCCAAAGTCAGACCTGGCCATCACTCAAGGACTGAAGTCTAGGGACAAAACAGTTGCTGTGAACAATGTCAAGGATGGCGAAAAATTCACAGAAACTATCAGGGAGAAACTTTTTGAGGCAGTTAAAAATCAGTAAAGACTTCAGAATGAATTGATGCGTGGTTGGCATGCAAGCATTTCCCAATGGTCGATGATCGTTGTTCTACGTTTGCGTATTGTTACACATAATGCGTATTATATTTGCCCATGGCAGGCCCAAGTCGTCTGAAGCCTCAATGCTACGCTACCTTGTGGAAGTTCTGCCTTGTGTGGTGTGCAGGCTGGCTGCAGAGAGAAACCAGCTCTCCTGTTAAGCGACCAGCATCGTTATCAAGCATAATTCTTAGAGACACCTAATTTGAGGATTTGGGACGTTTAGCATCAACAGCGATTTTTCACTTTCCACTCTGCAAGTGCTTCTCTACATAGGGCATCAATGGAGCAGACCATATGCTGAAGAGATTGCCTTGGTATCATCTACTCGCCACCGTATTGCGGTTCGCGGTGCTTAGCGAACATATCTGCCGGCAACATATGAAGCGGGAGAATGATACGCCTGTTGCATTTAAGCATGCAGTCATCAGATAACAAGGTACAAGTTATAACGAAATGAGGAAAGGAACCAAACGTCCTCTTCTTGATTAAAGACAGAACTGAGAAACAAGAAAGAACTACCCCTCTGGAGAGTGTTCCGATTCCAGCAGCAATCAGCAATAGCCGCCGGTTGATATGCAGTCAGCGTACCACTTCGAGCTTGGCATGCTTGGCCATGCTAACCCCCGCATATGACCTCTACTATCTGTTCGTTGATGCAACTGTGACAGCGGAAACGATCGGCGTCAGTTGCAGATGTAACAAGCTACTCCTACGCTGCAAATTCCTAACCAGAATATCAGAAGCCAATGATTTAGCATATATATCGCCATATTGCACATTATCGTCCTGTAACGTATAATTATCCTTCAGCCACAAGAATGACATTTGCCTCTATTCTCTGACAGAGCATGGTTTAATTTGATTCGTAGTTTCACCTCTTTTCGAATTTTGATTGCCACGGTCCCAATGGCTTTTGTTGTTAATGAAATATGGCAATCCTGGAAATCTCTCTCAATCAGTGAGCAGACACACACGGTGATGTTCATTCTGCTGGCCCCGGTTACTAGCTGCTTTATATGGTTTTTCGTTTCATGGCAAACCTCACCGTTGAAGAAATATCCTGGGCCGTTCCTCGCAGGCAAGTCCCGAGTTCCCTTCTTTCAGTCGCTTTTATTATTCGCTGTGTGCCATAGCAGGAGCAAGAATGTGACTGACAGATTGCGACAGGATGGACAAACCTTTGGCGGCTATGGCAGGTTATCGGAGCCGATTATGCTCCAAAGATGAAGAGGCTGCATGAGAAATATGGACCTATTGTGCGCTTAGGTCCTAATCTTCTAGACATCGATATGCCTGAACTGATAAAGGTCATATACAGCACTGATGGCAAGTGGACAAAGGTAAGCCTTTGTTCTGGGAGAATGACATTCATCAGCAGTCTGCTAATAACACTTATAGTCTGACTTCTATAAGAACAGCAGCTCCATTGTTGATGGAAAGATCACATACCATATGTTTTCCGAAACAAACAACGTCGAACATGCTCGTTTGAAGAGACCTGTCGTGCGACATTATTCAGTGCCTAGCGTCCTGGCTATGGAATCACATATGGATAAGATTATTGACGACTTGTGTGCCCATTTACAGAAGCGATTCACAGACACTGGCGAGTCGTGCGAGCTTGGCAACTGGCTTGCTTTTTGTAGGTACATAGATGTTCAGTATGACCGCCAATGTGACTAACACGGTGACTTGTAGACGCTTGGGACTTCCTCGGTGTTGTCACATTTAGCAAAAAGTTCGGATACATGGATGAGGGCCGCGACTTCGACGGCACGCTTGCCATTGGAGACCAATCAATCGACTATCTCGGCCTGTGTGGACAAATGCCCTGGATAGACTATTGGTTGGATAAGAACCCAGTTTATCCCCTTGGTCCTCCCAATCTCTCCAATGTCACGAGAATCGCCGTGGAAAACCTTACAGATCGACTTAGCGGCAAGGACATGAACTTCAAGCCTGAGAAGCCGGATTTCCTTCAGTACTTCATCGACTCAAAGACGACACATCCTGAAATAGTGGATGAAAGCACAATAATTGGCTACCTCCTTCTGAACTGTAAGCAAATTTGTCATGCCAATCGAATAGATGATCACAGGTTCTAACACCAAAAACAGTGATTGCCGGCGCGGATACAACTGCTATCACAATGCGTGCCCTCTTTTATTACTGTCTTAAGAACCGCCGTATTTGGGAGCGCCTTGAGGAAGAAGTTGTTGCCAGTGTACCGGCCGATAGACCAGCTCCTCACGCTACCGCCCGCGCTCTTCCTTACCTTGAAGCTGTATGCCGGGAGACGATGCGGTATCATCCAGCAGTTTCCATGACTATGGAACGTATCGTCCCGAAAGAAGGTCTTATCCTCCCAGATGGGTCCCTTGTCCCTGGTGGCTCACTTGTCGGCATGAACCCCTATATCGTTGGGCGTAACAAAGACGTTTACGGCGTTGATGCAGAAGAATACCGTCCCGAGCGTTGGCTTCAGCAAGACGATGAAGACGATGAGGCGTATAAGCTGCGCATGAGACAGTGGAACGCAGCTGACATCACCTTTGGTGGCGGCTCGCGGATCTGTCTTGGCCGTAACTTGAGTCTGATGGAGATTTACAAGACCGTTCCGTCGCTGATATCAAGGTTCGAATTTGAGCTTGTTGATCCACATGAGACGTGGTGGACAAGTTCGCGCTGGTTCTATCGTACTAAGGGTGTTGTTTGCAAGTTGAAGCGGAGAGTGGCAAAGGCTTGAGAATACACATAATCTCTAGTAATCACGTTGCTGCCTCTTCAGAGTGCCAACAGAGAGCAAATCGTAAACATCACAAGAAGCATGTCTAAAACATGATTCGGCAGGCCTTCATAATATCTCAATATGAATTCCTATTAAGTTCAGACTAATAATAACCTAGTTTCTGGCAGTGAAAGTGCCGTTGGTGCATTCGAATCCCAACTTGGGGTTGAGATCTGGCATCGCCTTCATACAGATAACCTTGGCGGCGCTCTTGTTCTGCGGTTGAAGCTTGATGTCCTTGGTCACGAAATTCTTGCACGACTTCTCGGTGTTGCATTCAATAATAACAGCTTCCGTATGCGATAGGTTGGGAAGACCGGAATTGTACCAGCAAGGCTATCGAAATGTCAACAAAGCTCTCGCACACAACGCTCAGAGGTTTATGGGGTGACTTACGTCTGTAGTGCATGAGCCGTCACCAGGGTTGAAGGTGTTAATGCTGCCAGAAAAGTGCTCCCAGGTGAAGTCCTCCATCATGACAGAGGAGTTGTTTGGGCGATCCCCACCGGCACTTGCCTGGTTGAAGTATGTCTGGGTCACAAAGATGGGGAATGTGACATTCTCGACTCGAATGTTGCTCCAGGTGACGTTCTTGACCAGGCCCTGCGTTTTACCTTGTTAGACGAGCGCAATAATTAAACATTCAATAGGTCTTACCTGTCCTCCAATCCAGCTCTTGAAGCGAGAAGCATAAAGGCCTCCTTGAACAGTTACATCCTCGAAGCGGATGTTCTGCACATCAGCCGGAGAAGCAGGCTTCGATCCGAGTGAGCCAACGCTCATGCCATGAGTCTCGAAGCCAATGGTCGCGTGCTTGAAGAGAACATTGTGAGCTCCGTCATTGATGGCAATGGCGTCATCACCGTTGAAGATGTTACTGTTCGTGATGGTTACATCAGTGGCGCCAACGTCGAAGCCGTCGGTGTTGAAGGGGAATTTGCTGCTGGAAGATCGAGCGTCGATAACGGTGTCTGAAATGGTAATGTTCTTTCCCTTGATAGAGAAGTTCCAAGCAATGGGTTTCAATGACTTCATATACTTCATAACGCCGTTGTTGACGTTGAATTGCATGAGATGAGGGCGGTTGGGTGTACCAGCCTCGCCAGGCTTGTTGGCATCCCACCAAGCTTGTCCGTACGACTTGATCCATCCGGCATGAGGCTATTGGTAAAACATTAGCAAAGTGTGTAGCCTTAATTTCGGATTCGAACAATTACATCAGATGAGCCGATCCACTGCACGTTAGTGCCCCCGATCTGGAACCATGTGAGCGAACCACCCTTCGCCTCAACGAGCTTCTGCACGGCGGGGATGTCTTGAGGCAGGGTCAGATTTCCCTTCACGGTGATGACCACATTGTTCAGCTTGGCAACGAGAGGCTCGTAAATCTTATACTCGGCACCCTCGGAGAAGACGATCTCAGCGTCGTTGGCGCACTTCTGAAAGGCCTCGGCAATGACTGGCGAGTCTGACAAGGAACCTTTAGACGGTACGATAATGCATCTGTTGGCCTTTGCGGTATCCGCAACCGCGGGAGACACAAGGCAAACTGCCAATGACAATAGATGGCGATACAACATGGCAGCGACCGACAGATCAGATCAGATCAGAACAAAGAAGCGACGAACGGTGATGTTAGGATCGCCGGGGACCGAGACCTGGAGCCAAGCCGGGCATTATAAACGCCATGAAGCTTGGCCGATCTAAGCTTCATGGTGAGGGGTGTGGATGTTACACCTGGGGCAGCAGCCTATCTGATTGTGTTTAGTGATTTCAGTTACCAAGGATGGTATGGGTTGCGGAAATGAGGTTCGGTAACTTTAAGCGTAAGGAGAGATCGTTGCTTGAAGAGGCTCTAGGGCGGTCTGGAGTGGAGAAGTTGAAACCAGTAAAGAAACGAATGCGAGTTCGGATGATTCCGTTTGAGAATGGTTGATGGAAATTCTTTCTCCGTTTCTAATAGAAAATAGGCCCCATATCGACTTAAATGACACGTGCGTTTGTAGCCCCCTCGAAAAATGGTGCTAGACTAGGATAACGGTCGGATATCCGGCACGCTACATGTGGGTGGCAGGCCTCGCCGGCCCGTCACGTGGGCTGACGGCCGCCACCACTGGTCTTAGCCAGCCTCCACAGCCCTCTAGCCAGTTAGTTAGTTCTTCCAACCAACAACACCACTTTTCCCATTCTGAGCGTTCTGTGCCGGTTCTCGCCCATAGGTTATGAGCCTAGCGTTATTCTTTCGGAATAACGTCGTTTTACCTATTATTCTACTCGTCTGTTAATTTTCTATTGATTCATGAATTTTTGCGATTTTATTTGCTTTATTTACCCTTCTGTGCGATTTTCTCGCTTTCTTTCCTCTTCGCTGACGAATTTCACTTTCTGACGCGATATTAGCTGCCTAGCGCGCACGAATATTACATAGCATGCAACCGACTATTATAACCTACTGGTTTTTACAAATACTACGGAATTCTATTATAATAACAGACTTTTTAATTATAACTATACTATAACTATAACTATACTTTTACTTCGATTTCCTCGTTTTTATAAGAATTTAACTATTTTAGCTTCGGTTTTTTAAACTAGCTTATTAGTTTCTTATATCTTTTATAAGTATTTATTCTTCCTTTCGATTTACTATATTTCTATAGTTAGATCTTATAATTCTACTTATTTCTTACTGGGGAACGGCGGGCAAGCCGCCTGTTGAAGTAAGCCTCCCGTTAGGAAGACGAGCTAGTAATCGGGTTAATGTTTCACCGGTCCAGGATTAGTAATCCTACCAAGACGACTCCATGTTCATGCATAATTACGGGTGATCACGGCGCTTAACTATCAGATCCTTTCCCCTCACCTTAGACAATTCTGGGTTTTCTTGATATTGCGCTTCAAGTTATGGCTCAACAAGCTCTTATCAACTTGCCAGCTGAACTGATAACCGAAATCTTTTATCATCTATTATCACCAGACCCTAAGCACTTGCGGGACTATCAGAACTTCCGGGAAACATGCAAAACTATAGCTGAGGCAACTTCTTCAGCTTTCAAAGCACGCTTCTTCCGCATTCGCTACGTAATGCTAGAGAAGGAAAGCCTATTGAATTTTGTGAACATTTCACGCCACCATATTCTGAGTCAAGCGGTTGAAGTTGTCGAGCTCTGCGTTGATCATCTCATCCAACCCAAAGACTACATGAGCCACGAAGAACTAGAGATTTGTGGACTCAAAGACGAGTATGATTTCTTCCGAGTTCGGAATGGCGAAGTTGTCTTACTGGGCGACGATAGTTGGGAGCAAATAATCCAAACCTATAAGGATGGATGGCAGGAGCAAACGGAATTCTTCTCCCAAAGGCAACATATGAGTTATTTAGCGATAGCTCTCACTAACCTCAAAAACTGCAAAGCTATTGGGATATCGGATCATACCCGACCATGGGGCGCCTTTAAGCTTGGGCGACGTATTGGCGTACTTCCAAATAGGTTTATTTCTGATTTCTTACCTAATAGCATGGTTCATGCCTTAGTAGTAATCAGAACACTGTTTTTCGCACTTATTAAGAGCCGCCTTCCCATAGAGGAGATATATATCGAGTTTGGAGATATGATGGAAGGTTGTACGTCTGTTAACGTCCCACACCCACTTCTGGGCACCCCCCACATTTGGGCACCCCATTTACACCAAAAACGCCGTTTTTCGAAATTCTATATTAAACTAACTACTATACTTACTAAGAAAAGAAAATATATATAAACTATGTTAAGTATAATTATAGCCATCTAATTTTTTATAAAGGTTTAAATATAATAATAGTTATAATATAGAAGTTTAAAACTAAAAGCTTTAAAATGTTAGTAGATACTAGTAACTTACTAGTATTCCTTAACATTAGAAAAATATATTTTCGCTTATATATACTTATTTAAAAAATCTAGGAAATTAATATTTATACTTATTAAAAGTATATAATTATATCTAAAAGAGATTTAAAAGTATTACTTTAGTAAATATAGTATAATTAAGGGTTAAAATTCTATAATAGAAACTTTTCTTAAGGGAAATTTTAAAATATTATTCTAAGCTTAAAGAATTTTTTACTAAGTATAAGAATATATAAATCTACTATATCTTACTTAAAAATTCTAATCATATTAGTTAAATATCTCTACCTATTTTATATATTAAGATATAGGCTAGGTAAATTAGTATTATAAATGTTAAACCTTGAATTTATAATACTTATTATCAATAATACTAGTATATAGCTACTTAAGTATTATAATTAAGTCTTAATCTATTTAACATATATTTATTCTCTTTAATAAGTAAAGTATTTAGTTTAATATAGAATTTCGAAAAACGGCGTTTTTGGTGTAAATGGGGTGCCCAAATGTGGGGGGTGCCCAGAAGTGGGTGTGGGACGTTATTCCACGGATGCTATCGCTCCCAAGCAGTCTCGCAAAAGCCGTAAAATCCGAAATCACGACCATCACAAAGCTCAGTCTTGTTATCAATCCTAAGGATAGCGATAATCATTTCAGCCAAGAAATTAGAAAATTCTTTGCAGAGAATGACCCAGTACAGGAAGAAAAATATGATTGGCAATCAGACTTTCATAGCTTCTCTAGCCTTTTTCCAGCGCTCACCGATATTACTTTATTCTTCAACTATTGCGAAGAGAAGCAACAATTTCCAGGACTTTCAGAAAGCCTCTATATTCCTCTTCTTCAAAGGTTATGCCTTGAGTATCTAGACTGCACGAGAGACGAACTCCTGACGCTCTTACGGCGACATCAAAATACACTTCGAAGACTTACTCTCGAAAATGTTAAAATTACTACCCAAGGTCTAGACGCTTGGTCTTTTCTCATACAAACTCTTCAGAACGAATTTAGATTAGATGAGTTGGAAATAAGAGGGTGTGGTATTGACGATTGCGATTTTAATATAGATTTTGATCTCCCTGATCGACTTTCTGCACATACCAGCGAGGAAATGAATTTACTACAAAAGGAAATACTTCAGGTTGAAGAAGAAGAAAGACTTAAAGGGATCCAAGCATAGATAGCGATCTTCTTAGTATTGAATTTTGATATGCCTCATGTTTTCCAACGCAGACTATTTCCTCCCACGCAAACTGCCCCGTTTAGGCCGCTTCGTTGGACTCGCCCCATCACTGCTGTCTTCAATAGTCTCTACCTCTCCGGATCGCTTTATATTAATAGGCGCGACGTCGCGGAGGCCGTTAACAGAAAACGGATCATCATTATCGACAATGGCGTCCGAGGCTTGTGAACCTAAGCATATTAGCTTTCAGAATAATAAAGTAGAATCGTCAAGCTTACCATTATTAAACAGAGGCCCAGGCACTTTCGCGTCGGCAGACATCTGTGCGAGAGGATCGAACTTGAATTTTCCCTTCGTACGTTCAGTCATATCTCCTTTTGACGGCGTAGAAAACGGATCGCGCGAGGCTGCGGTCTGCCTAGGCTCCCCAGCAGCCCAGTCAACTTTGATAATCTCGATGAGTGGGACAAACTCAAGGGGGTTATAAGGATAATCAGAGGTAAAGACGGTATTCTTGTTGCAGAAACCATGGAAATAGCCAGTAATATAGGCTTTTTTTCCATGCTTGCGAAATGGTGTTGTCTCGACGCGGTAATCCTCGCACTTCTTCTTCATATGTGCTTTGCATTTGGGAAGCATCGCGTAAACGTAGTTAGCATACCATCCAGTTTTGGGGGTATAAGCAGCCTCTGTAGAAGTAAATCTAGACCACACCCTGAAGACGGCTGACGAGTTCCTGGTTATTTCATCGAGACCAACGGAGGGATCATCGGCAAGGGGGAACTTTTGGGTATCGACAAACCCGTTGAAAGTTACGAACGGAGGAGTTATCGGGAAACGAGGAGATAAGTCGGCGCAGGTACGGTCAGAAATACTAAGAGGGAGCTTTAGGATAAGTATTCTAATGCCACGGATGAAGAAACTTACGGCGTGAGGGCATCGTCCTGGATCCATGCCAGACGTTTATATTCCACCTCGTCTTCGCCAGATAGACCACAGGGGACGTAACTGAAGTGGGGATCGCAGATAATAGTAAACCATTGGTCTTCCCAATCCTCGGTAGTTAACGAACCTCCCAAGTGGAAGCGAGAGAGATCTAGCGATAAGGCCCCGGCGTGTAAGTTGTCAAGTATATTAGGGAAGACATTAGTCAACCACTCTGGCGTATGAATCGGTATCTGGATTTGACCAGACCAGTTCTGGTACCGAAATATCTGGGAGTCCCTGCTTAGAGATTCAACGGCAACCATTTTACCTGTAGCAAGCATCGTGAGGGGGAGGCTCCATGGCGAAGGCAGGTTCAGCTCGGGCTTCGGCCAATAGGCAGCCAAGTCTGGCTTTCCAGTACCCATAGCGGCAGGAGGAGGCAAGGCGAAATGGTAAACAATCTGCAAGGAACCAGTATAAAACGTAGAAGGAGCTTTCGAGACGTAAGGAAGAGCAAGAGAAAGGCGAATCTAAACATTCGGGTTATACTCTTATAAAGGAATAAACCTTGTACATG